AACTGTCATGAAAACATGCGATGATCTTCTAGGTTGTGAGGAGTAGTTTTTTCATAGGTATTTACATTTTTCACTCATCTTCTCATACAAATCTTCTTTGGTGTTAAAACGGGAATGTATTTTTAAGGCGCAAAAATATTTACAAGCAAAAAGGGGCTAAAATTTACAACAGGAAGACCCATCCTTCGAATTGAAAAATAAAGGGAATTCGATGAAGCAGGTACCCAGAAAATAATATTTTTTGCCTTGTATTGGACATTGTTATTCCTCCAAGTGACAGCCATGAAATCACACTCCAAAATAGCTTCTTTCCTTGTACTTTTGACCAATATCATTTCCTTGCAACCACTCAATGGAAGGTTTTGGTAGATAACAAACCATGAAAATTTTCTTTCATACTATATCATTAGTCATGTTCCCACCAGCCATTATCGAAGTAAGAATTTTAATATTTTAGGAATCTTTGCCCCTTAAATGCCTTAGCCATAGTGAAATTAGTAAAGATTGGAGTAGAGATCAAAGGAAGGAAAATAGATTTACATGAGAAGAACTCTACAAGGTCAAGGTTACAAGGTCAAGGTTTTTAATATGCTTATCAGGAGAGGGGTTCGAAGGAAATTCCTTCGAGATAGTTAGAAGATGAGCAATTAGAAGAAATTCTATATCAAACGTCAAACATTGTCTGGTTATCTTATAAACAAAGGCACAATATCAGATTAAGGAAGCACATTAAAATGAAAAAGAAAAATCCTCTTTGAAACAAGAAATCCTTTAACCAATGGTCGTAGAAAAAAAGATGTTATTCTCTGTTTGCTCATCACAAGAGTTTCCAATGTGAGACCAATGGAACAAGCAGAACCGGTTATAGCATCTGTTATAGTCTCGACCAAATTGAACATTATTCGTACAAGTATAAAAATATAGTATATTACATTTATATTAAGGATATCATCTAACTTTATAAACAGTTTGAGACAGGATATTTTGGATCTCGGAAAACCTGACCTTCCAACAAGAGATAAACTCAGAATTGCGACGCGCATGGAGCGGGTGTATGATTGTTTACTTCCTGAAATGAAACGGCTATAACGCTCGGTCTTTTTGCTTCAATTCAATTCCCCAGGACAGTTTTCTGATTAGCTGAATGGAAGTAGTAGTTTAGTCTCCACTTCCAAGCCTGTGCTTTTGCAACCTGCACATAGGCCCCTGGTTAAGGCCAGTTTGCGTTGCCTGCATTATGTAAGGTGCAAAGCTTTTGTTGTTGAGGAAGATATTTAATGTCTAGCCTTTGATTTTTTTCTGTTGGGCTGACAACTCTTTGAAAGAAAATTTACTTTGTCAATCACATGTTCAATTTTTCCATGTATGAACATTGTAACAGTGTTCATAAATCATAGAACTGTATTTTTTTTTCCTTCCATATTCCTGAGCATCGACGCCAACTTGCACGCACCTCGACTAACCTCACGGGCAGCAACATGAACCTACAACATTTGACAACTGAGATTTTGTTATAGGTTTTTTTTTTTTTTTTCCCTCCTCCTTCGAATGGTTTTATGAAGAGATGATTTTCAAAGTCCATTATCTTTTTCAAGTCTTTCTTTATTTGCAGGGTTGAATTTGTAGAATTAATTTTATTTATTTTTTTAAAAATTAATTTGATTGTTGTAAAACGATCTCTATCATATTCATCAAGTAAATCTCAAGGAAACTTGTACAATCTATTCTTGAAATTTCTGTTATGACTCTTCAATTTTTTCCCCTAATTTTTTCAAACCAGCAATTGATGAATCAAATAAATTTAATCTAATCCTCCATATCCCATATCCTTTCATATATTTTATTTTCCATTGCATTTATAATAATTATTTTTGTTGCCAAGGCAAGCAGAGATCAATATGTATGTTAAAATAATTAGTAACTAATTTAATTTCTCTACTAATTAATTGAGCTATTCAACTTATCGCAGTTAAGTATTTTTCCAATATTGATTTTACTTAATTAAATGTTCGTTAGTATTAAGTTAGACTAATCTTATTAACTATAACTAGGTCACGTTTTTTATTGAATGTAATTGGATCAGCAAGAATTATGAAATTTGGAAGCTTAAATTCAAATTATTTTAACCCTTTTTACCTTAACCTTTGAATTATGTTATTTTTGGACTAAATATAAATTATTTTAACCACTTGGAGAGTGGCTTATAAAATGTAGGAGTCTCAATAGTTGAAATTGTTATAAATAATTAATCAAATTCAAGGGTTGAGGCATTTTTCTATTTTTTCAAATTAACTATTACAATTTTCTAGCTGTTTTGAAAAATATTTTTCTAACTTATTGAAACACTATAATTGTAGAAGTTAATGGTTAAACATTAATCAGAGAAGCTTCAAATCTTCACTTCCATGTATAAATAAAAAATTTCAGTTTTCTTTTAAAAGTCATAATTGACTTGCAATATGATGAATTAAACTATTTTTCAATTTGCTTTGACTTAAATTAACCAAAAAGAAAAATACGGATTAAAATTTAAAAGAACCATTTCACAGGAAGAAAAAGGCTATAAATCCTTAATATTACTGCTGGGCAGTGGGCTGGCTGATAACTGGTGAGCGCCGAGTAATTTATCAAAAAATTGATACAAAAATGGTGGCCCGGTGGGACCTTCCCTCCGGCGGGCCTTTGTTTTCCGAATTTATTTATTGAAGAAAATGGAGCGCACATGGATGAAGCGGGAATTTTTTCTTTTGGCCCTTCACCGGAGGAAGCATGTCGGAGAAATAAGAATCATCGGAGCAAGGGAGAGTTGAAGCAGATGATCATCAATGGCGAAGTTTACTTCTTTTTTAGTGAAAAATGGACATTAACACTTTTGTGAAATTGAGGGCCAAAATTCCTTATTCGATTTACTGTTGAGTCAGAACGGAAAACTCGGTTTCTTCTTCCTCGCAAAAACCCTAAACCCTTCTTCATTCAGCTCTGCCACATGGCATCTTCCTCTTGTCTGCCGTTGGTTTCTGGTAATTCCTTTCGTCTCTGGGAACTTAAATTTCAGTGCTCTTATCGACTCTGTTTGGGTGCTCCATAGAATGAATAGATGTTAGCATAATTGCGCAGTTGGGTTAGTTTATGTATTACTTACACTGTTAATGTTGACTTGTTATTTGTGGAGAGATGTTTCTAATGTGTATTTTGTATGGTTTTCATGGACTATTCTCGAATGCTACTTGACTGAGGTCGAGTAACGTCCATTCTTAGTAGCGGAAATGGCATTATAAATGATTCGAACGAAATAACCCAGCAATCTCTACTTTGTTTTAGTTGGGAAGTTACAAGTTAATACTCGTGCGAGTCGCACTGCTTATAAATGTGTTCAGTATTAAATTTCATATGTTTTATTGCAGATAATTTCAGTAAAATTTACGATGCAAGAAGCTACCTATCACTCGATACAAGTTCCAGGTTGAATCTTGATGCTACGAACTCCGAAGATCAGGCTGCTTTGCAACACAAGAGAAGAAGAATCACCTCTAATGCTGATATTTCATCTCATAATCATTTGAAGGAGCTCAAAAGTACCTTTCCAACATTGAAGTCTCCGGATTATTATATGTCTCCAAGCTTAGAGGAGTTGTCTATCCATGTTCTGAAAGATCCAGATTATATTAGTCATGTGTCAGATTTTACAATAGGACGTTGTGGTTATGGATCTGTCAAGTTTTTTGGGAAAACTGACGTCAGATGGTTAGATTTAGACAAGATCGTCAAGTTTCGTAGGAATGAAATAATTGTGTATGATGATGAAACTATAAAGCCTATAGTTGGTCAGGGCCTTAACAAGTCTGCTGAAGTTACTTTAGTTCTCCGGCAAATAACACCCAACTTTTTGGAGAGGCAATTTGATAATATTGTGAAGAAGTTGAAATACATTACTGAGAGACAGGGAGCTCAATTCATTTCATTTGAACCAGAAAATTGTGAATGGAAGTTCTCAGTTAACCATTTCAGCCGGTTTGGCTTGACTGAAGACGAAGAAGAAGATATTGTAATGGATGATGCAAATGCAGAACAAGATCCTGAAGAAATTAGCTGCAGCGAGATTTCTGATAATAATGAAAAAGTTTCAATGGATTTCACTGAATCTGTACTCTGTCATTCTCTTCCTGCTCATCTTGGGCTTGATCCATTAAAGATGAAAGAAATGAGGATGGTTATATTTCCAGAAGACGAGGAGGAATTTGAGGATTGTAATGAATCCCCTAAATTTCAAAAATCATTCACAGGCAGAGAATATATGAGATCTCCTCTTAAGGATTCTTCTCAGAGAACGAGCCAAAAATTAAATTCTCCAGTTGTCAGAAAGACTCCATTAGCATTGCTTGAATATAATCAAGGTAGCCTTGACTCAGGTTCTCCCGGTTCTATTCTGATGTCCCAACCAAAAAGGGTTACTCCTGTTAAGCCCTTGAAAGCAGAAGGTTTTAAGCTGGATCTCACGCATGAAACTCCAATTACTATACATCATTCTCACAACATAGTTGATGCAGGTTTGTTTATGGGTAGGTCATTTCGCGTGGGATGGGGCCCAAATGGCATCCTAGTTCATACTGGAAATTTGGTTGGGAGTGCGAATTCAGAGAGGGTCCTATTATCTGTTGTAAATGTAGAGAAAGTTGCCATTGACAACGTGGTCAGAGATGAAAATAACAAAGTGCATAAAGAACTAGTTGAATTTGCTTTTGATCTTCCTTTAAATTTACATAAGGAAATGAATCATGAATTTGAAGAAGTTGAAGTGGGATCCTTCAATTTGAAACTTCAAAAGGTTGTCTTCAATCGTCTAATGCTTTCAGATGTTTGTAGGGGCTACATAGATATTGTTGAAAGGCAGCATGAAGTTCCTGGATTATCTTCTTCTGCTCGTTTAGTATTGACACACCAAATAATGGTCTGGGAGTTGATAAAAGTTCTTTTTTCTGAAAGGGAAAATATTGGGAATTTGGGAGATTTGACTGATGATAATGAGGAAGACATGATGCAGGATATGAAAGAAGCTTCTCCAGAGTTTGACCTGGAAGCACTCCCTCTTATTCGGAGGGCTGAATTCAGCTGTTGGCTGCAAGAGAGTGTTCTCCCTCAGGTGCAATATGAATCAGGTTCATTAAATGATTCCAGTTATCTAGAACATATATTTCTTCTCATGACTGCGCGGCAGCTGGATGCAGCAGTGCAACTTGCTTCTTCTAGAGGTGATGTGAGACTTGCTTGTTTGCTGAGTCAGGCTGGTGGATCCACTTTGAATCGCGATGATGTTGGTCTACAGCTTGATATTTGGAGAAGGAATGGAATGGATTTCAGCTTTATTGAGAAGGAACGGACACGACTATATGAGTTGCTGGCGGGGAATATATTTGATGCTTTGTATGATATTGAAATTGACTGGAAGAGATTCCTAGGGCTGATGATGTGGTATCATCTGCCACCAGATACCACTTTGCCTGTGATTTTTCACTCTTATCAACATCTTCTTAAGAATGGAAGGGCTCCGCACCCTGTTCCAGTTTATGCTGATGGGCCACAAGAACTGGCTCTAAAGTCCAATCCAAGGGAATGTCTTGACCTCTCATATTTTCTCATGCTTCTTCATGCTAATGAAGATCCTGAATTTGGCTTTCTTAAGACTATGTTAAGTGCCTTCTCATCAACAGATGATCCACTTGATTATCATATGATCTGGCATCAACGTGTAGTGTTGGAAGCCATTGGTGCAATTAGTTCTAAAGACCTACATATTCTTGATATGGGATTCGTTTCTCAATTGTTATGTTTGGGACAATGCCATTGGGCGATCTATGTGGTCCTTCACATGCCCTTCCGTGATGATTTTCCACACCTCCAGGCCAAAGTTATTCGGGAAATCCTCTTCCAATACTGTGAAATATGGAGTTCACAAGAATCACAATTTGAGTTTATTGAGAACTTGGGCGTTCCAAGAATATGGCTACACGAGGCTATGGTATGTTATATTCTCACATAGTTGCTATCTTTACCTCTCAGAACTGCTCCTTACTTTCACTGGTTTAGAGTTATGTGTATAGCTTAGTCAATTATAGATTTATCACATGTACCATGAATTTACTTCTTTAATATTTGCTGCACTATGTATCATTGCCGCTGTTGTCAAAATTGTTTTCTGCTAGTTCCATAGTTAAATATTGTTACAACTGAAGAGCCCCTAGATTTTTTATAAGAAACCTAGATTTAAATAATTTAATGCCTTCTTATTGATGCTAGGGCAATTGATAGTTTGTTGTTATCCCCATTTTGGCCTCAGTTTTGAAGGGGCTTGCCATCTTTTAATGTTTTACTTTAATCCATGTGTTTGTGTCCTGCTGTCTGTTATGAAGATATAGTTATAGCTGAATAATAGGAAATTCCCCTGGCTGAAATTTTAGGTCACTGCTTTGTGTCATTTCCGTTGCTTGCCTTGAATATATTCTTGAAAATTATTGTTGTCTTTATGACCATCTATCCATCTAAGTTTTGTTTGATATTGCTTTCCAGGCAGTTTTTTTCAGCTACCATGGGAATCTCCCAGAGGCCCTTGAACATTTCATTGAATGTAGAAATTGGCATAAAGCTCATACTATTTTTACAACTTCAGTTGCTCATAGATTATTCTTGTCAGGTAAGAGTTCACATTGTTTTTTCAGTAACATGAAGTGCACGCACTCAGTTACAGATCTGTATTGATCAGATTTTTTTGATGATCGTGCTTTAATACTTCATACATTAAATACTGAGAACAGTATGATGGTTTCAAATGTTGAAATGGAAAATTTTGTTCAATTAAATTTAGAATAATTACCCTGGAGAAATAACATTAGCCTAGTGTTCAGAAATACAAGGAATATGCCCACATGTGTATGTGATTATAGGTCAAAATCTTGATGGTTATCTAGTGAGGAATAACTTATGAGTTTCGAGATGCCAAATATTGTCGTTGTAGTCAAGGTTCCTAATCCAAAAAGGGTTCTTGATTTGATTGCCCAAGGGGGTTTTTTTTTTCAATTAAATATGATAGGTAAAATTAATGGAGGTGCATGTAAAATAACTTTGGTTATTAAAGAAAGATATATTGAATATTCAGCCTGAACGAAAGTGTTTCAGATCTACCATTTTGTATCTATTTAATGTGACAGGGTCGTGAGTTTCAGATCTGTAGGTTCGGAACATATTTAGACTAGTTCCACGTCCTTACTTGAACATGATCTGTTCTATAGGTTGTACTACTGTGTCCTTGAGTTCTAAAGAACATATTTTAGTTTCTCTCTTTTTTTAGGTTATATTTAGGTTTCATCCGTAAGTTGTGTGATTCCAGGTCTTTCTTTTTGCTAATGAATTTTTTTGTGGGGGAAGAAGGTTGATGGTAAAGCCTGTTGATTTTCCCTTTCTGATGATGCAGCTGAGCACTCGGATGTATGGAAGCTTGCTACTTCGATGGAGACCCACAAGTCTGAAATAGAGAATTGGGAATCTGGGGCTGGAATTTATATATCATTCTATTCACTGAGGAGTTTGTTGCAGGAAAACAATGAAGCGAGTGAATTTGTATGTAAACCTAAGCTTTTCTTTTGCAATACTACTACTACCACTATCTCTGCAAATAAGTTTTTAGGCCAAAACTTTGAATCTGGATTTGAGTTAGCTTCAAGTTAACTACAATAATCGCACATCTTGCTTCTTATTTGAATTCCTGATTAAGGTATTATATATTGCAGGATTCACTTGAAAGCAGAAATGTTGCCTGTGGGGAGTTTCTTGGTCGATTAAATGAATCATTGGCAGTTTGGGGTAACAGACTACCAGTTGAGGCAAGGTATGTGGAGCTCCTAACTGTGACGTTTCAATCTTGAAATGTGCGATTTTATTTGATTCAACTTTGTTTCGTGACTTGTTAAGAATAAAATGTTCAATCAAAATGTAATAAAGTCAGATGGTTGCCGTGTGAGATTAATCGAGATATGCGCTAGCTGATCTGGGTACTTACGGATATTAAAAAAGAAGAAGAAGTAGAAGAATAAGATGTTCAATCTTTTGGAAACTTTCATCTACTTTTCAGTTATCCATATATTTGTTCAATGATTTTATTTATTTGCATACTTTCTGGAGCCGAGATAAAATAGAAAAACAAATTGAATTTAAAATGTGAATATATGTATGTCTTTTTTGTGGAGGAAGACAAACTTGACCAGGAAATTTCCAAGTGAAAATGTAATATATTGGTCCCAATGTGGCAGGCTTGTTTTTGTATGCCTCTGGTATATTATCCTTTCATTTTTCCTTGGTTTCTTATAAAAAAAATTCTAGGTATGTGCAGCTATATGCAGCAGTATAATGCAGACTAAAATGGAAACTACTTTTTTACTTTGTGTTTTTTTGTGATTGTTGCGACTTCTGTTGTACATTTTAGTTATAGCATTTGAACATCAAGGGATTAGTACTCTTAAATTGTCTGTTAATCTGTATACAGAGTTGTTTACTCAAAGATGGCCGAGGAGATAAGTAGATTACTTCTATCAGGTATTGGGGAGGGTTCTACACGTGATGCTCAGATGAGCTGCTTTGACACTATTTTTACTGCCCCAATGCGAGAGGACCTACGCTCAAGTCACTTGCAGGATGCAGTCTCCCTTTTTACTTGTTACTTGTCGGAAATCACATCGTAGTCTTCATCGCTCCAAACACCATTACGCAGCTTGAATGTTTAACTGGAGGATCATGTTTTTGCACGAAGTTGATGCCTACATTCATTCTGTATACATTCGATCAAGTAGAGGTACAGTTAAATTTTGCAGACCTCCCCCCCCCCCTGGAGAAAAGGTCGGTGATTTCTGAAGCAAAATTCAAAGGAAAGAAATAATCGGTTCTTATAGGCTAAATTGGTATTTGTTAGAACTATACATTCCCTTGAAGTGGTCAGTACATCCTCAAATTTTAGAGTTGTGGCTGTGTTTCTCATGAACAATTTACTGAACTGAAAAGAAAATTATTAGTGATAACTGATTATCTTCACATAAATTCTTGCAGTACAGTGGCTTACACCTCTGATTATCAGCCGTCGTTAGGATTGTCATCATAAAAATGTTTCTGGTTCAAACCGTAGTAACTGTTGAATGCGTAAATTTCAATGGTTTGTTGTAGAATAATTCACTTGGTGTAGCTCCATCTTTATATTGGAAGAGTAGGGACTGTAGCCTCTGTTATAATTTGGTTGCTGCCTGTGGGGATGGCTGATATTTAGCTGCAATTTTGTTTCAGACTTGCAGTGTATCGGGTGAAGGTGAAAACTTAGAGCCAAACAAATGTATTGCCTTGCCTATATCTACAACTAGGAGGATTAGAAAGCCATGCAGTCGTTTGATTCCAGATTTTGTAAGGTTGTTATTTGAAATGAGAGACAAACATTTGATGCGGTAATGATAAAAATGTCGAAGTTTTAGTTTCATGAGAATGCTGATTTCGATAGATGCTTTTTAAAAGGTTATTAAAAAAAATGGCTAGCATTATTTAAGTGAACAAATAAATATTTTACCGTCTCTAAAATAGTTAAAAATGATTCATAATAATATTACGTCTATATCAACGATATTTTATTGGTATTTTTTATATTTTATCAGTTTTTTGCAATACTACAAAAATGTTGATTTACCTCTTACGTAAATGTGGGAATGAATTATACGGCAATTAAAATGATAGATTTTATGCGGCGTCTCGTTTGTAGGAATGAGTTCATGGGATTGAAATTTACCCAAGCATCCCACTTTCAGTGAAGACTCCATGCAAATTATAGAAATTAGTATTTAGTTGTCTCGAGGAATCTTGTCTTCCTCACCACTAAATATTTGACAACTTATTATTATTTAAAAAAAATTATGTTTTTGTATTTCTCTTGGTTGTCAAATATTTAATGATGAAGAATTCAAACATATCTTCAAGGTTGGTGAATAGCTTACTAATAAAATTTACAAAAACAAACACAAATTTTTAAAACAAAATGATTATCAAATGATGTCTTAACTTCTCATCTTGTTCTCGTTAATAAAAGTATATAAAAAATTGATCTAAACAATGAGATCGAGTGAGTAATAAAGATCGAGAGATTGATCGAGCTTAAAGAAGGAGATGGAGAGAGGTTTAAGCTCAATAAAAAGATATAGATGAGTAATATACAAGTATGTGTGAACACATCGATATTTTTATATGTTCATAAATTTGAAAATTGACATAAGGAGTAAATTGACAAAATATAAAAAAAAACATCAATAACATATCACTAATATTTGCCAAAGCGAGCATAGTTAGTAGTAATTGACATATATTTCCAATCAAGAGATTGTGAGTTCGATCCCCCACCCCCATAAATGAATAAAATAATAATAATTTTTTCTTTGAAATTTTCCAGAAATAATTCTTTTGACAACATATATTGTCAAAACTTTGATTTATTTCATACAAATTTGATTGACATAAAATGGATATAATAAGGATAAAAAAGTTGCAACAAAATAAAAATAGAATTGAAAGTGATTATAAATATTAAGTATATATTTAGCCTAATTGTTAATGGTAAGATTTTTAATAACTTTTTTCTTCCTATAGTATTGTTTAAATTTGTCAACATGAACATAATCGAACCATTAAGATATCATTTGTTGAGTTAAGGCACTTCCATATTTGATATATTAAAAAATTGTTTAAATTTAATTAACTAAAATAAATGAAAACAGACCTCAAAATAAATAAATAATTAATTAAAATTTTTTTGACATATATTTATTCAATTTTAAAATATATTAAAACAGACATTTAGCCCACTTTTATATCTAACAACTTAATTTCTACTTAACCGTACTTGAAAAAAATTAAGTGTTATCAATCCACTTATCTAAGAAACTTTATTAAATTCTAACAAAAAATTTTCATTCAAAAGTTTTAAACTAAAAAATTTAAATTATTATCAGTTTCAAAATATATCGACTAAATTATTACAAAGAGATTAAACGGTTACTTTAAGAAAATAAACAAATGTGTTTTTTCAATCACATCCGTATAACCTATTTATAGGTAGCGGTGTGATCAAATGATTAGTAGCATCGATCGACACCAGGCTTGCTCGTGCTCGATTCTCAAGTTGGGGAACGAGAGGATGATGGAAGTTGTGGTTCTGAAGCTCCCATCCTTCCAATTCATAAACCCTAGTCGCTGCAGTTCCTGTTTCTCCTCCACTCTCCGCAACTCTCCTTCCTCCGCACTCCGCAGATTTTCCTCTCCTTTCTCAGTTTCCGCTTCTGCTTCCACCGCCACGGAAACCGACAGCTTACATTTCGCCTCTCTTTCGCTTGGCCACACAACCCGCCCCGATTTCCCCATCCTCCATCAGGTTCCTGTTTTTTGAGTTCTTTATGTTAATCTCTGGTCATCGCAAGGCCAATTTTTCGGTCTATTTGTTATTGGATCCTTCAAGCTTGGTTGAATCGTCAGTTTTTCCCGAGTATATTGTGAATCACGTTGTATTGAGTATTGATGTCTCTAAATATTGTTATTGTTATTGTATTGTATTGGCTCTTCATGCGGTGGAGTTAATTGCCGTGTTGCGACCTGCAGGAAGTAAATGGCTCTAAGCTTGTATACTTGGACAACGCTGCTACCTCTCAGAAGCCCATTGCTGTGTTGAAAGCTTTGCAGAATTATTATGAGGCTTATAATTCAAATGTTCATCGTGGAATACACTACTTGAGGTAGATAATCTACACTTCGGGGTTAAATTAATTAATTATAGTATTACTTGCTGGGTTATAGGCACTAAATTAGTGTCTGTCTGCATTTATCACTTGTAATCACGACCGTTTCTGACTGTAGTGCGAAGGCAACTGATGAGTATGAGCTGGCAAGAAAAAAGGTTGCTTCTTTTGTCAATGCAGCAGAAGCAAGAGAGATTATTTTTACCAGGAATGCAACTGAAGCTATCAATCTAGTGGCTTATTCTTGGGGCCTAGCTAATTTAAAATCAGAGGATGAGGTGCGTATCATGTTAGGTTGGGTTACTGTATCAATGTTAGTTGTTTAAGGCAAGTGATATTTCTTGTAAATATGTGCTATCTAGTGCACGTATAGGTACTTGTAACATGTATTTGTTAATGTTATTCTCCACACGGGAGATTTAATCTGAAACGCAGTTTGTTTCTGATAATTATTTATGCAGAAAAAAAGTATGCTCTATCCACAAATACCTGGGATTTTTTTAGTAGTTTTGCAAACTTGACTATTGTAAATTGTTTCTTCAGTCTTTGTATCTTCAGTTGGTGCAGAATTTATATGCCGTGGATGGTCATATTGTTTGAGTTTCATGAAGTGGTATTTGTAGAAGTTTTGTCATTTCCATCTCAAATCTATCAATTTAAATTGGTTTACATTTTATACTTGTTCATATTCTTTTCAGTTGTCTTAAGTGGGGTTTTTGTAAAGAGAGGAAAAACTGAGTTTTAGGCTATGGTTCATTGGGATTATCTGCACTTGAATATAGTTTGATTTTTGTGACTGGTCTGTTTGTGAAGATGCTTGTGATGTCAAATTTAAGTTAATAAGAATGTTTTTAACTACTACATGAAGACCATAAAAGCTGCATTTATTATTTTTAAGTGTGTGCCTTGTACTGCGTTAACTTTAACTGTAACGATGTTTTTCCTTCAGTGCAGATCATACTTACGGTTGCTGAACATCATAGTGCAATTGTCCCCTGGCAACTTGTGGCTGAAAGGACGGGTGCTGTTCTGAAGTTTGTGAGTTTGGATGAACATGATGTTCCGAAATTGGCAGATTTAAAGGAGATGTTTACAACAAAAACGAAGCTTGTGGTTACCCATCATGTTTCAAATGTACTAGGTACACTCTTCTATCTGATATTTTAGGATTATTTTAGTCAATTTCCTTTTCTCCCCCATTTTATTAGTAAACATCACTCAAGTGAGATAAGTACCTGCTACTAGGTGAATTTTTCAAACTTAAGTGTGATCATATCACTTTTATTATTACGTGTCAAGTGGAAAGTTGTATGGTTGAATAATAGTAATAAAGTTCAATGAATGGGAAAAGAAAGAGAAGAACTGCATGACATACCCCCTTCTCTTGATTTCTGTCTCTTATTCTCGATGCCCTTCTAATAGTAACTCTAGTCGAATTCGATATGATTTGATTCTTTCTGCAGCATCTGTTCTTCCAATTGAAGATATAGTTGGCTGGGCACATCGTTTTGGGGCAAAAGTGCTAGTAGATGCATGCCAGAGTGTTCCACATATGGTTGTTGACGTCCAGGCACTTGACGCTGACTTTCTTGTTGCTTCTTCTCACAAGGTTAGGCCATTCTCTTATTAATAAAATCTTGGGCCTTACATTGTGCGTATGAAGTTAAGGAATAAACATGCTTCAGATGTGTGGGCCTACAGGCATCGGATTTTTATATGGAAAGAGTGATCTCTTGTCTGCAATGCCTCCATTCTTAGGTAGGTTCTTTGAAAAGATAAGTTATGAAAGTAACTGTATATAAAAACAATTTTACCAGTTAGTTAATGAGAAGTCAATATCCAGTGTTCTAATTTGGTCCTACATGGCTCTAGGTGGTGGAGAGATGATCTCAGATGTATTTCTTGATCATTCCACATATGCAGAACCTCCTTCAAGGTTGGTGAACTGCAAGCGTGCAATTTTGTATTTTTCTTTGTATTTTAACTTAACCATAATTTTCTCCATGTATCTAAATGGGGTGGAAAATTTTGTACATTCGAGATATAGGACTTTGAATGCTGAATATGTCATGAGTTTCCATGTTTTATTTATTGAGATTAGAACACCAAAAGTTCGTCTCTTTTTTCTTCTTTGACCTATGGTTATGTGGAAGCCGGAACTTTAGTGTTTTGCTCATTAAGTTTCTATGCTGGCTACTGTGTGTGTTTACGCTTGCTTCTTGTATGCACTTTTCGTTTGCTCATCTGTTGTGTTCGTAGCAATTGTGACACTTGGCTTAATTGTGTACTTGATAAATCATATATTTGAAGTCATCATGAGAATTGAGATCTAAACAACTGACTTCATGAACGAATGGAGTTAAAATTCTGTGGTGTCTATTTATTACAGTATTCATTAATTGATGTCATTTTACTTATCTTTTTATGTCTTTTATGTTGCCTTCTTTTGATATTTGCATCAGAAAGTTATTTTGGTTGGACAAACTTCCGACTCTAGTCCCTACTAATAACTCATTTTTCCCTTGATTAGATTTGAGGCTGGGACGCCAGCAATTGGAGAAGCAATTGGGTTGGGAGCTGCTGTTGACTATTTGTCTGGAATCGGCATGCAAAAGATACATAGTTATGAAGTGAGTTGATTGCATTTTGGCATATGCATTCCCCTTCCTTTAAGAAATTTATTGAGGTGAAAAGGTTGGTGTCAATACTAAATATAGCAGCACACAACACAGCAAAGGAACATTTTCCTCAATCAAAACATTTAAATATTATTTTTCATCAACTAGGTTACCTGGAAATGTGGAATTGAAAACTGAAAATTTGAATGAGATGATAAACATTTCTACGAGCTTTTATGTTCAAGTCTAACGGTAAGGAGTTGGTGTCTGCAAACAGGAAGAATTGGCAAGATATCTATATGAAAGCCTTCGTGCAGTCCCCAATATTCGCATTTACGGACCAGCTCCCACAGCAAATGTGCAACGTGCTGCTCTGTGTTCTTTCAATGTTGAGAATATTCATCCAACGGACATTGCAACTTTTCTTGACCAACAGGTGATACATCTCTGACTTGGCTCTACTTTGTAGGACATGCTTGAGTTTGTTCCCGACCAAAGTTTTTTAAGGTTTAAATTCCTATCCCTAAAAAAAAAAAAAAGTTTCGTGATTATTCTAATTTGGTCTCTAGAGAAGATATCTACGTTGACAAACAAGTATTATTGGTAGGTCAAGTGTCGAGTTCTAAAATAGACTTTAGAGATTCTAAAACCAAAGAGTTGTAAGTCAAAGGGACCAAAACATAGTATCTAAAATTTTAGGGACTAGAATGAAATACCAAGAACCAGAATAGGGTCTAAAATCTCTTCTCTAACCATGTTAAAGTCTCAAGCTCTTAAAACAGTATCATGATAAATTATGTTTATGGATCCTTAAAATATTGCAATGCAGCATGGTGTCGCTATCAGATCGGGACACCACTGTGCGCAGCCCCTCCACCGTGCTCTAGGGGTCAGCTCGAGCGCCCGAGCTAGCCTATACTTCTACAACACGAAAGAGGATGTCGACTACTTTATCCAGGCTCTAAATGACACTGTAAGTTTCTTCAACTCTTTTAAGTAGAGTTCTGGTAATACACTTCCTGGTTTGGTTGGTGGGTCCACCTAAACCTTCTAGAATGCAAGGCTTGTGTTGTATATACTCTGTTTTTTTTTTTAAAGAAAGTATTTGCTCTGATTGTCTTGAGAATTGTGACATTTACTACCAGATCTATGCCCATGTAATCTCATTGTAAAGACCTTAGATTTCTCCTAGTTTTTAGTTTATTTATAAGTTATTAAATTAAGTTAATGCTTCCATGAACTCCAATGTCATGTCTCCAGGATATTAAATTTATGTCTGCAATTTCAACATTTCGATTTCCATTGATATTTTTATGTCCACAGGTTTGATATAGATAGGGTAAGTGAATTGACATTTTCATGGTATCATAAATAACTCGACAAAATATAAAAAAAATAATATCAATAAAATATCATTAATATTAATATTAATAATTTTAACTTATTTAAAAAGGTTAAATGTTTATTTGTTATGAACTTTTTATCTTAATTAATCTTTTTTTTTAGAAATATCTATCAATATCATAACATTTTCATAAAATTTGAGATCTTAATATTTTGTTTACATTCAAAAGTGAGATATTAAATAAATAGTTCTGTTTCAACCCAAAAATCCCACAAGTAATAATATTTTATGGTTTCATAGGTAGGTGCCGAGTATATATAACAAATTAACAATATGGTTGTAAAAAAATTGATATCAATATTACAAGCCCTAACAATATTAATACTTATATTAATAACGTTAATGTAAATAACATTTTTTATGCACTAAAAAAACAACTTTTTTATTATTTATATCGGAACTTGCAAAAAAGAACCAATCATAGATTTACCACTAGTCATGAAGGATTGAGAAAATTGTCAAAAGGGGTATGTCAAACTAGTTCGGACAATGACAAGTATAAAAAAATAAAGTAATTATGAAAATAGGGGAATGAATAGAATTACACAAATCATGGGGGGAATGAAGGAAATCTCTGTTAGGTTAGCTACATCATTTTTCTCCTTTTATGTTAATCTTTCGGGTTGAACAAAATATTTATTTATCGCTCTTGAAATATTATTTATATCTCATTTATTTGAGATTAATTTTCTTATTATTCAAATTGAATAAGTCATTTTTTTTTTTTGAATTATACTTTAAAACGAAAAGGAAATCTAAAAAAAGAGAAGATAAACTAATTCAATCTATATTAAAAAAATGAAATCAATCTTTAATAATAAGATATTATATAACTTGAGATTTCTTTAAAAAAAAATTAAAATTATTATCATTGAAAAAAAAAATAAACTAAGGAGGCGGAATATAAATTTTTGCTTAAGGTCCCAAAATAGTTCGAGTTTAATCTTCAAAAGAGTTGGCCAAGTTTCCTTTTTTGAAAAGATTCAAAGGAAGAAAGCAACGACTACTCAAAATCCATGGATTTCAGTGGTACCAGAAGCGGAGGAGGGAGAAACTTAGCTCTTTTGGCGCTTCCTCAATCAAGAATCGCAAGAATAATATCTCGTTCTCTATTTCTAGCTGTGATTCTCCTCTTAATTCCTCACATTGGTCCCGAATTCAAGGAGCAAGGAAAACTCCTCTGGTTTAATTTCGCAAATCTTCACTCGCCAACCGCGAAGGAATTCAATAGCCTCATCAATGACTTGGAAATCGCCGACATTCTTCGGACGGGGCAAAAGAGCCTTATTCTGATCGCAGGATCGAATTCGAAGAACCTCGAAGCTCCTGCTCATTATGCAGATCATCTGAGAAGTATGGGAGGCGATGTGATTATTGAGAACAATTTCTGGCCACAAGGCTCTTTTGCGGATGAATCGTTTGATATTGTGTTCACGCTAGGGCAATTCGGAGCCGGATTCGTCGATCGTGTTCTTAGAATTGGGGGCGCTGTGGTTGTTCCGGCGAAAGATCTGTCTTCAAATGTGTTTCTTGATGAGTTGAAGTATACGTGCGTTTATATAAAGCCTTACGATGTTGAATCGGTCATCTCCGTGATGGTGAAACCAGATCCGGCAACCGATCATTCTAACGGCGGCAACTCTGCCGCCGTGCACCGGAGGCCAAATTGGCGGCACCTTAATTCTTATTGGCTGATTTTTAGTACGCNTTAGAGAGGATTCGCTTTTTTTATTTATATTTTTTACAAGAGGATTCGTATTATTCTTTATGGACTATAATTGTTTTTTTCAATCATAAATTTTGTGTACCAAATAATTTTTATCAATTGAGTTATTTCCATAGAACTTTTAGCCTTCACCAAAAGTTTAAAACAGAATGTTTAACTTTTTTCAAAGGACTGTTTAAAAATTCAAGTACCTGGTTGGTTAGGATTGTTTGATAATTTATTGTATTTGTTTCCTTTTTTTAATATTGAAAAAATAGAATTGCACGATTCCATCTACATATTCTGATATAAAACAAATTTTTATTTACATTTTTGGATAAATTGAAAACGGGAACAAAAGAATCTATACAATTTTAAGAAAATTTCTAAAAGAATAAGAATCTAGAAACCTAAGAATTTTGACCTTTATTGTTATTCTTTTTTCGAAACATTCTAAAGGTATGTTTGGAGATGATTTTGGCATGTAAAATCTATTGCCAAAATCATTTACATTTCAATGATGATATTTGGCAAATTAAAAAATTGATTTTAAGAAAATATAAAATCACATAAAATTGATGTTTAAATATCATTTGGGTGATGATTTTGGAAAATCAATTATTCTTAAATTTATTTTTTTCAAAATCGCTCCTTCTACCATCACTTCCAAACACGTTCTAAAAATTGTATAGAAATTTTAGAAATAATTTCTTTTTATGGTTCTCGTTTCTAATTTGTTTCAAAATATAAATAAAAACATTGTTTTACCATTCTTATGAGTGTTTTTTTTACAGTAAATTAATGGGTGTTTTGAATTCGTGTCGAGGTTCTGCAATTCTATTTTTCTTATTTATTGTTTCCGTTTTTCATTGCTTCCAAAACATGAATAGAAATATATTTTATCATTGTTGAATACAACATCAATCATTTTGAATATTTATTTAAAACATTAATTTTGAAATAAATCTTTTTCTTTTTTAATTTAAAATATGTCACCTTTTTCCAATAAAAAAAATAAACAACAATAAATAATTACTAAATGCAATATATTTTTCTTTATTATCTTTATTAAAAAGTATCAAAACGAATGAGGAACTTTACTCGGATCCTAACAACTAAAATCAAACCAACATGAAAGTTTGGAGATTGAAATAAAATTAATTATTTTAAATATTTGAATTATAACTAAGAAAAAAATTACCCTTGGTGAGAGTTGATTAGATAGTGTTATGCAGAGGGAAAACGACAAAGCAACGAAAAGAGAATCAAAGAGACTACCAGATGAACCGGACAGACCGATCGAATCGGACCGAGCCGAGCACGACTCGATCTCGACCCATGCTTGGTGTCGAGTAGGGCTTGGCAAATGCCAAGCCCGGCACTCGTCCTCTTTTGATCTCCACGCACCTTAAGTCCTGTAACAATGAATTAGGGCACGTTTAGAAGGATCTGGAACCTACCGAGTGGCTATAAATAGGACATGTAGCCTAATCCTAAGGTAAGTCGAATTCTACCCTTCAATTCTACTCCCGTTGCTAATTTAGACATCGGAGCCCATGTGACAACAGTCACACCGGTCTAACCTTGTTCGGTTTTGCAGATTTTCGAGTCCCTAATAATAAAGTTTGGTGTAAACCTCGAAAGGAACTGGGAGAACATAATCCGCGCATCAATAGATAGAATCAATTAAAAGTGAAAATAATTTCAGTTTGATGGTTCGAGATTCATTCATAAGTTTGAATTGACATCTTTGATTACATTGTGGGAATTTGAAGAGCTATGCACATCTGGTCGTTTGTATTTTTACAGTTTTATCCAATAATGTTTACCTGACATAAAGTTACCTTTAAATCAAAAAAAAAATATATATATATATATATATATATATATATATATAAATCGTTTAACATGTTTTATCTTATCTAAATATCACATAAATCTTTTGGATTATTGTTGTGCAAAAATACACCAATAACGGTTTCTTTTATCAAACAATATTAATCATTAATCCAAATAAATTCACCAAACAATATTAACATAATGGGAGAGAAGACAACACCAAAATTTATAGTGGTTCGACCAAGGTGGTCTACATCCACTGTTCAAGGTGATGGCAAATTTATATTAGCTTCAATATCCAAGAACAATACAAACCCAAGCTCTAAGCAAGAAACAAACTCTTCTGTAGATTTTTTCATCCTCGGTTGCTGCGGTCAGAAAGAGTGTAACAAAATTCTGTCTCTTTTTCGAAATCTCACGGCAAGGAGAATCGTCCCAAACTAGGGTTGCACACCATGTAATAAAGTAGCCACATAATTGGGATTAAACAAGAACTAATGGTCCAACCCAACTTCTTTCATTTAATAACAACCCATGAGATATGCTTGAGTAAAGAAGGTCATTTAATAACAACCCATGAGATATGCTTGAGTGAAGAATGATAAATTCGAACAAAAAGGACACATCATCATAGAATTGTTAGTTCAAACTCCGCGCATAGAATCGATAATTGGACTCCTTGCATACTTGTTGGGGGAGATTCGAGATTGTTGAACTGTGGACGTACAAAGTATGTTGAACCAATATAACTTCAAACAATCTTTGCCGAATAATACTCCCACCAACAATAACAGCTCAACTCTATGCATAACTCTCGCCAGAAATTTCAAAGGTAACAGTTGAATGGACTCGTACGTGATTCCAACAGTCACGTCTTTCAAATAAATTAAAGAAAAAATTTTGATTTTTTTATAACACAGTAGAAAAGAGGTATACGACGGTTACTCTCTAATCATTATTAGAGGCAAAATCTTCATAGTGCTAACTCCAGGTTCATTTTCAAATATTCTTGGAGACATTAATACTTTATATAGTCATATTTCGGCTAAGATAAAAAGTTACAAAATAAGCATGGTAAGCTTTATATAGATGTTTAATTTTGATATTTATATTTCAAAATTTTCTTCCACTTTTTCTTTTTGTGTAAAAACATCAAGAGAATATAGCTAGACTATCTGCAAGAATAAAAACTTATACTAAGTATGGTCCATGAAATAATTTTATATTTGATTGATCATTCTATGGTTAAATTATAAATACAAAATGAACTATAACAATTATAAAGACAAACATGCAAAATATTTTTTTATATATACTGACAAATGATGTATATATTCCCAATAAGAGAATGGTCAGGTGGGATCCAATCGGTAAATAAATGTATATATACATAGAGAAATGTCAACAACGGAAAAAACTAATGAAAAGAAACGTGGGTGAGCAAAAAGCCAACACCAATGAAGGACCCTAAAACAAGCTAATGAATTTGTCATAAGCAAAGAAAGACGATCTTCTTAACTCGAAATGGCAAATGACTGGGAAGAGGAAAAGTTCGTTTTTTTGGTACCACCAAGAATAGATCTAGTGGAGACGGAGTGAGGCCTGTAGCTCAAAGGATTAGAGCACGTAGCTACGAACCACGATGTCAGGGGTTCGTCATGAGTAAAATTCAGCAGCTAAGACATTTTTCTCCTTGATCTCTACAATTGAGTTAAACCTCATGAATCATTCCTAACCTGTCTTCTCCTTATTCGAAATCTACACATCGTTTTCTTTTTTTTACTCTGCCTTAAACCCTATTAGGATCAACCAATACATTCAATCTAATAAAAAAAAAAATTAACTCATTGTCACTTTAATTATAAATATATTTTTTAAAAAGTATTTCATATTTGATATGGCAATGACAAGCACAATTCGTGAGATTTGATTAAATCAATTAAGCTCAAACCATGAAAATAAATTAAAACTCCCAAAATCATATAAATCAAATTGAAGCATTTTAAATAACAAGATTTGTAATTTAACCTAAATAATAGTAATACTAATATTATTAAACTTCTAAAAGAAATACTAATATTATTAAGGCCGTGGCTGTCGCATGCAATGGGGCTGGTCCATATGCCAAACTAAAAGTCGGCCGGGCCCATTATTGAAGGTGAACGGGCCCATACTAAACAAATCGGAGCGTCCAGCTCCAAGCTATCCCGAACTGCCCAGTCAGGTTCCCAACGGCTAGAAAATTCCAATTACAAATCAAACAGCACTCGGCCGTTGGATGAGATGCCCATCCAAAGTGCCCATTCAGGCTCCCCACGGGAACATTTCGAATCATTCTCAACGATTAAATGTATTTTCTTCTTTTAATTTTGTTTAGTACCACAGAAAGGTTCCAACTTATAACTTTGATCGTTGAGTTATACTCGTTTCACGTCTTTTTTTCTTTTAATTTGAATGCGAACATGGTTTTTTTATTATTATTTTTAAGCTTCCTAAATATATCCTTAAAAAATAGTTATGGACTAACAAAATCAATTTTTTTAAAAAATAAATCTAATATACCAAATCTAATCTAATAATCTATTTTTCAAATAGGGTGTGGATCCCAAAAAATAAATTTTTTTTAAATATAGTTTATCATGTATTTTCAGATAAGTGTACCTCACAAAATCAATTTCTCCAAAAACAGTTAATATTTTAAAAAAAATCAAAGTAAATATTATTATTATAAAAAAAATATTTAAAAGTTGAGAAGGCTGAAAACTTGCCAAATATTCCAACAAATATTAAAACCTTAAAATAATTTTTATAATAACAGGAAAATAGTTTGATAAATTAGTTCAGAGTAATTAAATTTGATAAATAATGTTCTCCTTGAAATTATATTATTTATGAATTTTATTTAGATAATATTAAAATCTTCTCAAGTGTTGAACATTTTTATTATAACGATGATATTTACTTTAAATTTTTAACTTTTTAAAAATATTTTATAAAATTTTAATTGTTGTAGAGAGATTAATTTTGCGGGTCCACTATTATTAAATTAGATTTGTTATATTATATTTAAAAAAATAATTTTGTTATTCTAAAATTATTTTTAAAATTCTAAAATTGTTTATATATATATATATATATATATAAACAAAATGAATGAATGCAAAGGTCAAGCAATTAAAAAAAAAAATCTGTAATTGGTTTATTTAGTCGAAGAGACGCATCCATGTTATTCCTAAATTCCCAAATACTGTCTGTGTTTTCTAATTTTTTTTAAAGACCGTACTGTTTCAGAAAATCCCTCCCAACGGCTAGAAAATTCCAATGCCCACGGCCGTTGGATGAGATGCCCATCTGACGGTCATTAATTCATAGGAAATTAGACCGTTGGCGGCATCCGCTCCCCAGGTTTAAAAGAAGAAACATCTTCCGCTACCATACAAATCCACAGTACATAGTAATTGATACAGAAACAAAGAAAAATTCTCAGATAACGATCGTGAAAGAGAAAAAGAAGAAGAAAGGGCATTTCGTTGTATGTGATCAACGAGGTGGCGACAGAAAACGCCGAAGAAAGAGGAGAGACGCGCAACAGTCGTCTCCAACTTTTTCTCCTCTCTCTGTTTCCAAGTCTTGAAGGAGTTTTCGGCAACAGTGCTCCGGAAATCGCAGAGAAGGAAGAATTAATGGCTGCTCGCGCTGTTGTTCCTCAGCGACACATGCGACTCAGAGGTGTGTTTCTTGTGCTAACCGATCAACATCTCATTGTTCTTGAGATGCAGAAGCTAATCTACATTTTTTTACCTATTTGAGTTCGATTCTTGTTGTGAAATTGTGACTTTTCTTATTTTCAACGGTTTCTTTTGGATTAATTTCTCTAGTGATTACTGGATTTTAGAGTGCTGTTTATGAGGATTTATCTTGATTCCGGCTCTTCTAATATTTTCTGATCATTAGGGCTTGATCTCGATTCCTGAGTTTTTCCTCATTTTTTCATACAATTCTGAATTAAATGTTTCACTTATTATTTTACTGTTTCGATTTTGAAAGGTGAAGTTAAGCCAAAGATGGTAGCTGCTGAAGGAAGAACCAGGCGAGTTCTTAAAGACATAGGCAATCTGGTGCCTGATGGAGCCGTGGAAGGGGGGAAACCCGGGCCTCAACCAGCAGAGAAGAACAAGGTAGAAAATTGGCTTTTCTCTTTAAAAACAAATTTCCTCTAGTTTTCTATATTTCACAAGGATTTATAAACTTTCTAGAAACAGAGAAAACAACATACTAAATCTTTGTGAAAACTTCATCTGCAGAAAGCAATCAGCAAAAAACTGGAGGGGGCGGTGAAGGGTGGCGATGTGGCGAAGGCTGCTGTGACTCAGAAGTGCAAAGCTGAGAAACAACTCACTGTTCTCCGCTCCGCCAATGAGAGAAATATAATCATTATCAGCGATACTAAATCGAGAGACAAGAACAAGAAGTCCCTGACTTCAACCCTCAGTGCCAGAAGCAAGGTAATGTCTCCTACATATATACCTTTTATTTTTTACCAAATCCATTGTGATATTGCTGGTTATCTTCTGCTAAGTTTGATTGCTACCAAATTTGATTCTAAAGGCTGCTTGTGGACTTACCAATAATCCACGGGATTCAGTAGCTAATATTGATGCAGCAGACGCTAACAACGAACTGGCAGTAGTTGAATACATCGATGACATGTACAAGTTTTACAAGCTTGCAGAAGTATGCAACATTTTGCTCTCTATTGCTATTTTTTTCTGTGTGTATGTGCTCCGCTCTATTCTTTCCTTTCTGTAACATTTGGAACTTTTTTGCCATAGGATGAGAGTAGGGTATCGGATTACATGGGTTCACAGCCAGATCTGAATGCTAAGATGAGATCTATCCTCGTAGATTGGTTGATAGAAGTTCATCGCAAGTTTGACCTGATGCCGGAAACCCTTTACCTCACTGTAAACATTGTCGACAGATTCCTCTCTTTGAAGACCGTGCCAAGGAGGGAACTTCAATTAGTAGGCATCAGCTCTATGCTAATAGCATGTAAATATGAAGAGATTTGGGCTCCGGAGGTAAATTATTTATTTCTTCTTTTCTTTTTCCTAAATGATTTAAATCACCCATCACTCCTCTTTGATTTCTTCTGACTTATAATTTGGATGTCGATTATACAGGTCAATGATTTTGTGAATATATCTGCTAATACTTACCAAAGAGAACAGATTCTAGCGATGGAGAAAACAATTTTGGGCAGGCTGGAATGGCTCCTTACAGTTCCTACACCTTATGTTTTTCTTGTTCGATATGTTAAGGCTTCTGACTCGTCTGATGAGGAGGTGGATGGGGTTCTCAACTTTTTGGTTGCATTAAATTGCATGACAATGTTCTTGTAAGAATCGAGAAATGTTGAATATTGAAGAAATTGTGGTTTTTCAGGTGGAGAACATGGTATTTTTTCTGGCTGAGCTCGGTGTGATGAACTATCCCGTAGCAACATCATACAGCCCTTCAATGATTGCTTCAGCTGCTGTTTATGCTGCACGGCGCACCCTTCATAAGAGCCCTGTCTGGACAGCAACTCTGCAGCACCATACAGGCTATGTTGAAGATGAGTTGAAGTATTAAAAACGTCCCCTTTTGCCTGGCTAATTATGCAGTAACTTCAAAATCTGAATTATATGCAAATAAATTTGTGTGACAGGGAATGCGCGGAACTCCTGGTGAACCTGCACCGTGGAGTTGCAGATGGCAAGCTCAAGGCCGTGTACAGAAAATATTCGAGTCCAGATCGTGGTGCAATTGCTCTTCTTCCTCCAGCTAAAAGTCCAAGTGAAGAAAATGTATGAGAAGGCGGATTTGTCAACTGTTCTTTAATTATTGTGGATGATCATTTTGCTGTAATGATCTTTAGCTTTAGCGCTCTCTGTATTATTCGAGCTGCTTAATTACTCCACTAATTCCTTAGGCATTGTGTGAAGAGGATCAGGATTTCAATATATTTCAGTCTTTTGGAATCTTCTCTCAGATCTTCATCATGCTCTTAAAATTCAAGGATAACAATAATGTTTGAATCAGAAAAGAAAATATTGGGTGGGGGAGAAAGTTTTGAATCTTCTCCCAGAAAAACATTGTTGGGTTCTCCCTTAATTGCTCTAAAAATTCGAGGATTACAATAACATCTGAATGAATCAGAAAGGAAACTAAAATATTGCCCTTCTTAGCCAATGTTGTGTTGTAGGTTACCTTCATCGTGTTCTTCATTCACCTTAATTTTGGAGCCACAGCAGCTCTTCCTGCTATGCCTTAGAGATTCAGCTTCGTTTTGGTTCTGATCTGCTCCCTTCTTCCCAAGCTCCAATCTTCTGTCCATAAACTCTGAATTCTCCTTCCATACCTCTCCATTATCATAAACTTCCTTTTTCCATATTGGCACAGACGCCTTGAGCTCATCAATCACGAAACGGCAAGAATCCATTGCATCAGCTCGATGAATAGCTGAAACCGCAATAAACACACTAATCTCCCCCACAGGAACAGGGCCAAGGCGGTGCGCAACTGCCATCGAATGGAGGTTCCACGATGACCTAGCAGACGAACAAATTGATTTGATGCTCCGAATTGCCATTGGTACATAAGCCTCGTACCGCAGTTCCACCACTGTCTTGCCTTCAAAATTGTCCCGAGTGGTGCCTGAAAATGTAGAGATGGCGCCGGCTTGTGGAACGCTGACGAACTTTATGTATTTGGCCATGTCGATTGGGATGTTCTCTTCTAAGATTTCAACCAGAGTTCTCTCCTCCGAATCCATTTCTTGTCCAAATCTGTAAGGTATCGTTCAACTCCAGCTGTAAATTCAGTAAACAAATTTCACTAGAGAAGAAATTGAAATCAAAGTTGTTCAGCGTTGCAGAATTAGAAGTACTATTTAGTATTTTCTTTGGTAGATTCAGTGATAACAATTATCGAAATCGACGGAGAAATTCTTGAAAGTGAGTGGACACGAAGCCGAATCGGACCGAGAGGAATCGATCGATACACAACACGGTTGCACTCAGAATTCTCTTAAATCGAGAGCCGAATCGAATGCATGATAACCTAAAAAAAGTATCGCGAGTTGACTCAGAGACATTGCTGTGCTCGATAATAATCCCTTTCAAATCAAACCGATAAGAAACGGACGAGAACACTCAGCAGTGGATACGCAGGAGAAAAAATCGAGATAAAAACGGATTTGAAGTGAAATTGATTCGAAAACCTTTACAAATCAGTCACGAACGCGAGACAATCAAAGGCAGAAACAAACCTGTTCAATTCGCGGAAGGAAACAGCGTCCACTCTACTTTCAGAGACGCTCCATGAAATCCACGAACCGCAGCTCTTTGAATCGAAAATGATTACCGAACAGCGTTCGCAGAAAGTGTAATCGAGCTTGCCGATTAAGCTCTTGAGCCAGAAACTTGGATAATCTGCATCAGGCGGTGAAGATGATTCGGCAAGAAGAAAGAATCCGATACCCACAATTCGACCCGCAGAGCATTTTCCGGTCTGTGGGCTCTGATTCTGAAGCAAAGATAAGGCAGTGGAACGGGCTGCCTTGGGCTTGCGTGGGTTGACTGGCTCCAATTCTTTGAATTTCTAACTCTGGAGATTGATAAATAAATATATAATTCAATCATCTCATAATAAATTAAGATTAAAATTACAACACTAGGAAAAAAAAAAGAAAAAAAGAAAAAAGAGTTTTATAGAATTATTGTTTTCTTATAAGAAGCCATCAAATTATCAATTGACTTTCTTAGTTTAAGTTTGATCTTCAATCCATGAACTAAAAGGTTCCCACACATGGAATTATTATTTTTAAAATTAAAATTCAAGGAACCAAATTTCACCGTCATTATTGGGCTGGAATGGGCCGGGCTGACCAAAAAAGTATAGGCCCAAGCCCAAATCCAACCAGCCTAATCAAATATATATTATACTTTAAATTAACTTTTTGTCCCGAAATTCGAATTATTTTATTTACTCCTGAAAAAACTAGTACATTTATTATTCTCCAAAAAATGGAATCAATTACAATAGAACGGCATATAATTTGAATGCCATTTATAAAAAGTCGGAACCAAAAAAGCCCATACGCGGAAGAAAAAGTAATTGATTGCCGAGTGCTATATGTTCTATAAATGAAACTCCCACTTCTTGCAATCGCCATTGTTAAAATTTAAAGCCTCTATGCCTCAGGATTGGGAGGAGGAAGCAACCATTTGTCACTTTGCAAGAACCCAAGGCTGACGAAGGGCTTCACTTCCACATCGCTCAATTGCTTGCTGTATTTCACACGTCCACTTGGTTCCGACCCCGGTCCCGAACACTTGTATTCTCCGAACAAAACAGTGCTGCACATACAACAACAACAATACCACGCCATTACTAGAAACACGAAAAAAATCGTTCTAAACTTTTATAAGGTCTCTTATCTTACCTGTCAAAGCCAGGATGTTTCATGTCGTTCCAGCCTTCGGGATTGATGATGTCAGCCATGGTCGTGTAGGCGAAGACAGTTCTGGACCTAGCCATCCAAGCTCTTCCTAGGTAAGTGTTTTTGCCGCCAGTTCCTGTAATGCTGCCATGCACGAATGAATATCCACTGGGGTCAGATTCTTCTTCTCTTGAATGTGCTGTGATCACTGCCAATCCCCCATCTCCCACCACATCCAGCTGACTATTCTGCAAAATTACTCACACAATTATATGTAAGCTCAAGAGATCAATTAAATTAATTACTATTATTATATCTAATTAATTAAATTGTGGTCATATGTACCAAATAAAGAGATGTTCCTTTCCCGAAAATGAAATCGACTGTCCCTTGAATGAAGCAATCCTTGTAGAGATGCAAACCGTCATCATCACAAAGAGTGTCTTGAAACCCAATGAATTTGCAATTGTAAACCGCCGCTTTGGTCCCCATTAGTCTGGCCGCTAATGCTTGTGCTCCTTTTCTTTTTCCATCTGGCCTCGGTGATGAATTCTGATAATTAATACATCCAACAAATTAAATTAATTATAAATCCATATAACACACAAATAAATAAATAAAATTATAAATGAGCAATAATAATTAATTAGTTAATTACCACGATGATGAGATTGGCAGCGGTGAAATAATCAGACTCAACAGTCAATGTTGCACTGTAGACAGTGCCAAATTTGTTTGCATCGCCATCAAATGTCAAATTGGGCATATTATTAGGAGACCCATAAAGGGTAACGAATGGCTTTGTTCTCTCAATCTTAAGCTTCTCTTTGTAAACTCCTCCTCCGATCCAAATCACAACTCGTTTGGTGTTACCTGTGGGCACGCTGTTGATGGCTTCTGTGACGGTCTTGAAATCTCCACTTCCGTCGGCCCTCACCTTAACCACGGTGGCGCCCTCTTCGGCAGCCACGAGCGCTGGATCCAGCTCCGCCTTGCGATCGGCTAACGGCTTCACATTGTCGGAAAACCATTTGTTTACTTGCGACTTGTCGGCCGGCACAGGCGGCGAAGCAGCCAAGATGAGTGCAAAGGTTGCCAACAGAGTCAGCAATCTAGTTAGAGAGAGGGCATCAATGCAATATTTCATAGCTGGAGAATTTGTGTTTGGGTAATTGTTTTTTTGGGTTTTTTTTTTTTTTTTGGTTTTGAGATGTGATTGAATGGTTTGAAGATGTTGGAATCAAAGTGGGGAAGGGTGGGATTATATAGGGGAAGATGGAGAAAACAGAACCATGAAGTGGCGTGAGATTTTGAGTGGATTTCGTGTTTTACTTGAATCTCCGTTTTACCAGCTCAAACTCAAAAGATTTGTTCAACTACAATTATATACGTATTTCTAATTCAAAAAATTAAAACAAGTGAGTCTCTAAATAATCGACAAGTGTCTACTTTTTATTTTTTTAATTATAAAAATTAAACCCTGAGTTATGTTTTCCTCGTAAATATGAATTAGAAGATTGCTCTCATCAACTTACTAAGGATTAAAATCTCTGTCATATCAGTGAAATTATATACCAACCAGATTTGAATTCTATTTTAGTTTTTAAATTTTTACATCTATGTCTCTAAACTTTCAAAATATCTATTAATTTTAGTTTCTATAACTTAAAAAAATGGATTGTTTTGGCCTTTGAAATTAAACTTATATTTATGTCTATTTTATTTGTTCATAAACTTTAATAAAAGTAGTCATTTCTGTCCTTACTTTTATTTTTTGATTTTAAGAAATTAATAACACTACTTTTAAATCTAAGTTGAAATAGTTTTACTGTTTTAGGCCAATAAATTTTAAGGTGTAAAATAATATAAAAAATAACCAAAATGATCCCATCTTGAAAGCTGAGAGACTTAAATATATATTTTTATATGTGTAGATATCAATACCTTTCATATATACAGGGTGAAATGTAAAATTGAGATATTTATATTTTAAACGATCACGGATAGCTTCAAAAGAGGCTAGGGGCTCGGGTTAATTAAGGGTGAATAGGTTCAAACCCTATTAGGAATTAATAATTATTATGTGACAAATTCCTATGTATTTTCTGATATCAAATATTGTAGGGTCGGACAGAAAAATATCAATTGTCAACTAAAGTATAACTTAGCATGTTAAGTCATATATACTTAACCAATTGATTGAGAGTTCGAATCTGTACCCCACATATTATATTATTTAAGATATTTAAATTAACAAATAAATATTATATCATCTTTAAGTAAGTTTAAAATATATTAATATTATATTAGTGATATTTTGTTGATACTTTACGGCATATCTGAATGATGAGATAACGAAAGATGTGGATGATAATACCTACATATGTACGAAAATTTGGTAAGGCGACAAAGGAAAAGTAAAGGCATTAGATTTTAGGTTGGGGTTTTAAGTTTTGGAAGCGAGCAATAAAAGTAAGAAGACAACGCCCACCGCCTTGTGGGATTCTCCGTCTCCCTGCAGCGTTGATTTGTGGTGTCACGGCGACTCTGGTAGTGCTACAACCGGCGCCAGCAAAAGCGACGTGTCGTGCGTCGTCTCACAACAGTCTTACACCGAATGGTCCAAATTGATTGACTTAATCAGAAAGAAGATGCCAACTTTTAGCGGAAGATGAACAAAACTTACGCCAATAATTTTTATCTTTTTTCACAATCAAATCCGAGTTAAAAGGATTATTTTTGCATTGTGTAACCATTTAATCTCTATCCTGAAAATTTTAATAAAAAAATTTAAGGGATAAAAATAAAAACCAGGTTTTTAATTCATAAATACATAATTTGGTATATAGAGACTAAACTGTTTTTAATCTTAATAAACTCTACTACATCTTTCCTTTGTTATTTTCTTTTCTTAATGTGTCCTAAATAATTTTTTTTTCCACAATGTTCCAAATAAAATATGTGCTTTTTTTTTTCATCTTCTAAATAACTCATGCACACCCTCACAAAAAGAAAAACACAGTGGTGTTTTTGTTATAATGATTGTAACACTATATATAATATATATTGAAAAAAAAGATAGACTATTGATGTTACTCAAGAATGCGAAACTCTTATTACTTGATAGTAAAGTTAGATATGAAATCCTTTCCGAACAAAAAAAAAAAGTTAGATATGAAATCATTTCCTTATAATTTTTTAATGGTGATCATTGGAATATACCTATTGTATCATGTAAAGACCTAAATATTATTCTTTATTTAATTTGACATACAGAGTTATTGTTATAATTATGGTAATGCTATTAATTTTAGAAAATAAATATCATTATTGTTGTTAGTGTCGAATTTGAATTTTTAAAAAACAAAAAATTGAGGTTAAAAAATTCAAATTTGGTGCCATATTAGATACAAATGAGATTGAGGAAGAGATTGAGAAGATTATCTAAAAAAGGCTTGAGAGATGCAATAATCAATTTGCATTTTCACCTATAATTATTATTTAGGACCAATTAATTAATTTGCCCATGCAAGCCTTTTCTAGAGTAGTTAAACTACAATATACTCCAAAGTCTAAACAGATGAAAATAGCCTGAAACTTTAGAAATAAGAAAAGCGTAATATATGTTATTCTCGGAAAAATGTAGTGAATTATAATAATAATATATGTGGTACAATAAGAATTGATTGGCTTGCAATAATTATGAAAATGCCATCAAAAGATAATAAGTAGCTAACAAGCTTAGGACGACGTAGCCCATATGTGGAAGAAAAAGTAGGCTAGGTGATTGCCGAGTGCTATATATATCTCTGATCTGGTATGTAAATGAATTAATTCCCCACTTCTTGCAATCACTGCGGCATTACTAAAGTGGATCTCTCTAAGCCTTAGGGTCAGTGGGAGCCTTAGGATCAGTGGGAGCCTTAGGATCCTTAGGATCAGTGGGAGCCTTAGGATCCTTAGGATCAGTGGCAGCCTTAGGATCCTTAGGATCAGTGGGAGCCTTAGGATCAGTGGGAGGAGGAAGCAACCATTTGTCACTTTGAATGAAATCAAGGGTGAGGTATGGCTTCACTTCCTTATCGGTCAATTCTTTGCCGTATTTCACACGTCCAGTTCGATCTGCCCCCGGGCCCGTACACTTGTGTTCTGCGAAAAAAACAGTGCTGCATGCAGTACAACAACAGTCACATTGTTAAAGACGGATGTTACCATTAAAAATTTGACACAGGACAAAGACACAGAATGCGAAATTCTTACGCGTCAAAGCCATGATGGCGCATGTCGTGCCAGCCTTCGGGATGAAGGATGTCAGCAATGGTGGTGTAAGAGAAGATAGTTTTGGACCTCGGCTTCCAGGCTCTTCCCAAGTAAGTGTTTCTGCCACCAGTTCCTACAATGCTGCAATGCACAAATGAATATCCACTGGTGTCTGATTCTTCTTCTCTTGAATGTGCCGTGATCACTTTCAATTTCCCATCTCCCAGCACATCTAGCTCACTGTTCTGCAACATTGCTCGCCCACACATACAATGTTAATTCATTCAAAACATTTATTATATATTTTTAATTAATTAATTAATTTGGGATCGATGATATATTATATAGTATACCAAATAAAGAGACGTTCCTCTCCCAAAAATGAAATCGATAGTCCCTTGAATGTAGCAATCCTTGAAGAGATGCAAACCAGCGTCGTCACAGAGAGTATCTTGAAACCCATAGAATTTGCAATTGTAAACGGCCGCTTTATCCCCCATCAGTCTGGCTGCCAATGCCTGTTGTCCTGGTTTTCCATCCGGCCTTGGCGACGTATTCTGATCACGTAATTAATTAATTAAACAAAGCCACGTCACCATATAATTAACACATAACTTAAATTATAAATAAGTAGTAAATTAATTCTTACAATGATGTTGAGATTGGCAGCAGTGAAATAGTCAGACTCCACAATCAACGTTGCGCTGTAGACGGTTCCGTACTTTTTGGCAACGCCGTCAAATGTCAAATTGGGGACATTGGCAGGAGATCCATAGAGAGTGACAAAAGGCTTTGCTCTGTCAACAAGAAGCTTCTCTTTGTAAACTCCTCCTCCGATCCAGATCACAACTCGGTTCGTGTTGCCTTTGGGAACGCTGTTGATGGCTTCGGTGATGGTCTTGAAATCTCCACTTCCGTCCGCCATTACCTTTACCACTTTGGCGTTCTTTTCTGCGGCCACCAGCTTTGGGTCCAGCTCCGCCTCACGACCGGCTAACGGCTTCACATTCTCCGAAAACCAGCTGTTTAGTTTCGTCTTATCGGTCGGTATAGGTGGCGACACGCCGTAGATGCATATCGGTAGTACTGCTGCCAACAAAACAACCAACTTAATGCCGCCCCAATATTTCATAACTCTTCTTCTTCTTCTTTCTAAATTCTATTTTCTATTTTCTAAATTGCGTCTTTATTTTATCTGTTTGAAGATGATGTCCGAATTGGAACTGCATGGGGAAGATTGATTATATACACGAACTCGGAGAATACACAGCCACGTGCGCCACGAGAGGCTACCACTGCTCTTCGCTCTTTTCTCAACAACCCATTTACTAAAATCGCACATTTCCTTTTTTTAGCCTAAATTTTGTCTTTTAAAAATTCAAACTCAACACTAACATCAATAATAATGATATTTTTTTTTTCTAAATTACATATATAGCAATAATATTTAAGTATTTATCTGATATGGTAGGTATATTCTAATGACTACCATTAAAAAATTGATAGTTAAACATGAATGTAGAAAAGAAAAGAGAGAAAATATATTTTTCTTTTTTAAAAAAAGAAAATAAAGTATTTTTTAATGGTAGTATACAGTCATCTAAATATTATTCTTAAAATGCAGCTAGTGAGAGAGAGATTTTGTTGTTTGTTAAACGTTAAAGTCATGGTAGTTCTTGTGGTGCCAGCCTTGAGGATGAATCATGTCAGCCATGGTAGTGCAAGAGAAGATATAGTTTTGGAATTTGGCTTCGCAAGCTCTTCCCAAGTAAGTATTTTTGCCACCAAGTTCCTATATAATATTGCAATGCACGAATGATAACATCTCACTTGCCATCTGATTCTTCTTCCCTTGAATGTGTGCTGGGATCCTCGCTATCCACGTACATCCACCACACATATAATGTAAGCTAAAGAAATTACCATATATATTTAACACATATATATGTAAGCTAAAAATGTTGGAATTAATTTGATAATTAATTTATGCGTGGGTAACAAAGCTATTTAATGGACATATGAATGATCCTAATTATAGATCTATGACTTCGTGGGATGATTTGTTAAAATCAGCCAATTAATTTGAGGGGATTATGGAAAACTTTAACATTAACATATAAATATTTGATCCCAAACATTATTGCCCATATTTGATTCAGATTGCATAGTTGAGGAAGACCATAAACCACAACTTCTTGTCGTTCATGGTCAATCTACCTAATGGTTCAGGTAATTATTTTGGTTTTCTTCCATGATCTTGGTCTTTATTGTTATGAAATTTTATGGTTTTTATTATAGAATAATCATGAATTAGGATTTCTTTGATTTTTCCAACAAAAGAGATTACCATATTTATAAAAATATTATATTCACTTTGAGATATATTAAATCATTAATATACATTTATAGAGTTCTATTCTAAATCAATTGACAATAAGAAAATAGCTCAAGCTTATTTATAAAAAAATTTTAGCCCTTAAAAGTGGGATCTTTAGTATACTCTCTCAATATCATGAGTTGACAAGATCCTAGTTTGAACATTTTGGACTTTGATTCTATATAAATATCCAATTCTTTAGTTGAAAACAAAATTGACGATCCCTTATGCAAACTTGCGTCATCACATATAGTATCTTGAAACGCAATGGTTGTATTTATCCTCCAATAATCTGGTGGCTAATGCTTGTGATCCTTTTCTCTTCCATCCGACCTTGTCATCAGGCAAAGAACCTCACATTCTCGTTTAAAAGAGTCTATTTCTTTACAATATTCCGATTTGTTTAGGTGTGGTGGGGGAGAAAAACAGTGGAGATGAGTGTAAAGCTATCAAGAGAGTCAATTTTTTTTAAAATGAAGATGGTCTTTGATTTTGTATTTCTCTTCTAATCGTCAAATATTTAATTGCGGCAAGCATAACCTCTTCTTTTACGATTGACGAGCGAGTATTTTCCAAGACAAAATACCTTAATTTCTTTATTTTATTTATTTCTTATTTTTTATTTTTTCTGTTTGAGGAACTAATTTCCATTTTCCAGTTACCTTCACGCCGCAAGGCGGCTATAAACTCCCGACTGAACTGTTTGCGTTCACTTCAATTCCAGAGTTGAGGGTAGCGCCGCCCTCACTTCCCGGCGAGCTGACACCTGATCCTCCGTCCTCTTCCTCTGCTCCGGCGATGTCAGATTGATCGCCGCCGCCGCTTCATTATCAATGATTCTGTAATTTCTCTCTCTCTCTCTCTCTAAAGATGGTCGGTCACAAGAGGCATATTCTTCCCCTCTTCCTCCTCATATCTGTTTCCATCCTCTTCTTCTTCACTCATTTCTACTCCTCCATTCCCCCTTCCTTCCCTTCAAACCCTAACCCCGATTTCGCTCTCAATCGGAAAACCTCCGACGCAAAAACCTCTGGTTTCACTCTAATCGTTAAGGTTCTTGCTTACAATCGCCTTGATTCCGTGTCCCGCTGCCTTCGGTCCATCGCCAATGCGGATTATCTCTCGGATCGCGTCCATCTCCATGTCTACATTGATCATTTCCCTCACGACGATGCACATATCAACCTCAATGAGTCGCATCGGATTTTGCAATTCGTTGATAAATTCTACTGGAGTTTCGGGGAAAAGATTGTGCACTATCGGACGGGGAACGCGGGTTTGCAAGCGCAGTGGTTGGAGGCGTGGTGGCCGAGCTCTGACAATGAGTTTGCGTTCGTTGTGGAAGATGATTTGGAAGTCTCGCCGCTTTATTATAAGTTCCTGAGGACTTTAATTCTGAATTATTATTATAACACTTCGAATTATGCTCCTTCAATCTACGGAGCTTCGCTGCAGCGACCAAGGTTTGTTCCAGGTACCACTTTTCTTTTCGATTGTGTGCAATAACCGAACTCTAGATCATAAATGTTCTGTTCATGGATCTGATGAATGTTTGTAGATAAAGTTGTAATGTACTTATTTGTCTTGTTTTAAGCGATACAGAGTGGCGGGGTGGAAAATTCTTAGTTGGTTGAAGTTTCCAAGCCTTTCTTGCTATTAATTGTCAGTTTGTCCCCGATCTATGTCCATAGCTGCAGATAATGCCCTTTGAGAGTAATACATTTCACTAGTTAATTTCTGTAAGAAGGGATGCTTCCTTTCATATTCTTTTCAGGAGACAACGATAGGACTCAACCTGACATAAGCTTGTCCATTTGTGCATATTGAAAACCTCTCGAATTATACTCCTTCATAAACCGTGTGTTGTTACTTTGTGTGGCAGACTGCAGTGGCTCATTTACTAAACGAACATCTGGTTCAGGTTTTTGCCTAATTGCAGAAGTTTGGACATTATGCTTTAATGTAACTCTCTTTCAAAAATGTATTATGATTTTTCCTTTCGGTGCCCTAGTTTATCCTCCTTAGTTTGTGTCCATATTGTTGGTACTAATATCTTGTGGGCTCAATGAGACGTTCTGCTTGAAATAACATGATGGTAAGGAGACGATGGGTCCTAATCACTTAGGGGGTAGAATCTGTGGTAAAACTTAACTGTCATGGATTGAAGCTTGTACAATTACCATCCTTTGTTCACACTATTTGATTATAGGATTCTTTTTCTTTTTCTTTTTCCTTGTTCATGTTTTGATTTAGTTACTTGTCTGTAATTATTCTATGTAGAGGAGAGGCTAAAGGGACTTCAGACTTTACAAGTGTAACTATTGCCTTCTGAATCCTTCGTGATTCCTGAATGGATTGCATAATTGTTATTCTTTTATATCCAACATCTACACAAGCAATATATCTAGTGCAATTTTTTTTTGGATAGGATATATCTACTGCACTCTGATTCATTGTTGGCCTTAGATCCTTAGAATTGGATCGATACAACTTTATACTGATAAAACTTCTTATAGAAATAAATCTACCTTGAATTCTAAGCAATCCTTTTCCCCCCTGCAGTTTCATACTTTTATGCAAATTGTATTTTGTTATTCTCACAAATCTGTATGATGTACGGAGTAATTTATTTCTCATGTCTTCAGCTTCTTATCTTTCTAAATATAATCGTTCAGAACAAGATTTTAAAAGTTCAGCAAAAAGTTGGGAAATGGTTTTTTTCTTTTTCTTTTTTTTTTCCCTGTTCCTGCACAATTGCCTAGATTCCAGAAACAGGTGCAACTTCTCTGCCTTCAACCTAAGCCATTGCCAATTGTTTACTGTGTACAGGTAAACATGGTAACAAAATAAGGTTGGATGACAGCACCAGAATCTTTTTGTACCAGTTGGTTGGCACTTGGGGTCAACTTCTCTTTCCAAAGCCTTGGAAGGAGTTTAGATTGTGGTATGATGAGCACAAGGCGATGGGCATCAAACCAATGCTTGATGGCATGGTATCCATAGTTATTTATTTTATCTGGTGATGTAGATGTTTCATTCTTAATTTATTCTTATATTTAAATCTGTTTGTGGATTATTTGCAGGTGACAACAGGATGGTATAAGAAGATGGGAGAAAGAATATGGACTCCTTGGTTTATTAAATTTATCCATTCTCGTGGATATTTCAATATATACACCAATTTTTTACTTGAGAGAGCACTGAGTACTTCTCACAGGGATGCTGGTGTTAATTATGGAAAAACGGCTGGTCCTGATTCACACTTACTGGATGGAAGCTCACTTAATTTCGATCTCCTGGAGATGAAGCCTTTAACTGATTTGCAGTGGTATGATTTCTGCTTTAGAGAAGTGATTCCTCAAAGAATTGTTAAAAGCAAGAGCGAGCTTGGTTCTGTTATTCACTCTGTTCAGAAACACCAAAACATAATCATTGTGAGCATATTTGGCGTATCGGAGTCCATGATAAGGAATTTTCTTTGCCACTTTGAGAGATTGAACATAAGGAACTATGTTTTGTTGGGCCATGAATCTGAGTTGCTCTATGATCTAACGAGAAGAGGACATCCAGTAATTTGTGCAGACCCATTTCTGAAGACTATCAAAACTTCCAAATCTATGGCTTTGGAAGGCACCAGGTCAGAACTGGCAAAGTTAGTTCTAGCAAAGTTCTACATTATTAAGTCATGCTTGGAACTTGGGTACAATCCAGGATTGGTCGATGAAAATATCCTTTTTGTCAATGGTGGTGACCCATTAGCAGACTTCAGTCTTGCTGACAATATCTTTATTGGGCAGAGCTTCGAACTTTTCTTCGTTAAAAGCTCATCCTCTGCCCAAAAGATGTGGGCTAATCATATCGTTCCCGAGGCTGAAGTCATGGTAGAGTCTTTGATGAGTAAAGGTTCAAAAGACGGTACTAGTTTTGTAGGCATAACAACAAAATTATTGGAACAACATGGTACTAAATTTAGAACAGCTGATGAGATGAGTTTTGGTGTGAATATTGGTAATAGTCCGACGAACACATCATTAGGGGATGGGAAAAGGTTCGTATTTTGGCCTGCAGATGTGAATATTAATCATGTAGAGAAACGGCTTGAGGAGTTGGGTTTTTGGATCATTGATGGTGATTTTTCTTGCAAAGGTGTTTACTGTAATGGATCGTAGCATTCTGACTTCAATAATGCCCAAACAACAATTTTTTTGTAGTTCTTATTCCTCATCTTTTATACTGAATTCTACACGAGATATTATTTCAAAAAAGTAATACTAGAAATTGGCTTTTGTCCAGTCAATGTGCAGGAACTTCTTTGTTTCCAATCTTTTTTATCTTTTTTCCCATACAAAGCTTGTGTCTGCCTGTAGGCATGAACTTGGAAATGCCACTAGGTAGCACTCTCAAGTTGCTTTTTATTTTAGAATATTACATTACAATGGAAGGACAAGGAATTTGAACCTACAATCTTCATAGAAAAGAAACATTAATGTTTGACCACTTGAACTCTTCTCAGGTGGTGTTGTTGGTAAATGATACGAACTTTGATTGGCATTATGACGAGACTAGATACTTGTGTGTAGCCATGTTTGAGCTGTTGAGTTCTAATCCTTTATTGTATACGTTCTGGTACGAAGTAATTGGATGTGGTGAAAGTTGCAAGCTGAGAAGAAATTGCCTCCCACCCATGATACTTCATTTGTCGTTGGAATAACTTATCAGATCAGAAGGATTCTGCTAACCAACCACCTGATTCAAATCCCTCTGCTCTCTCTTCAGCCATAAAAGTATGCACCTGATCGTGAATCTGAACCCAGCTACAGCCAGGGTTCTTCTTCGCTCCTCTAGACTTCATCAGGTCCCTAACCCTGTTTACCTCATCCCATCTTCCTGCTTCAGCATACATATTTGAAAGAAGAATATAGTATCCACAATGCTGAGGCTTTATCTCAAATAAATGTTCTGCTGCCCAACACCCTAGCTCAACATTTCGGTAAATTCGGCAAGCCCCGAGTAGAGCTCCCCAAATATTTGCATCTGGGGCTATAGGAAGGCACCGGATAAGCTCTGCTGCCTCTTCCACAAAACCAGCACGGCCGAGTAGATCGACTATACATGCATAGTGCATTTGGGTTGGTTCAAGATTTTGAGCTAGCATCTCACTGAAGTATTTCCAACCTTGTTCAACTAGTCCTCCATGACTGCAAGCTGAGAGAACTGCAATATATGAAACTAAGTCATATTGCACAGTATCACCTCTCATTTCTTCAAACATAGTAATTGCAGTCTCCAACTCTCCTATCATTCCGTATCCTAAAATCATAGTATTCCAAGAGGCTACATCTTTGAATAGAATTTGGTTAAAGACCTTACAGGCAAGATCAATTCTTGCACATTTTGTATAGAAGTCCAAAAGGGAGTTTGAGACAAAAAGATGAGAGTAAAAATGATTTCTTAATGCTACACCGTGGATCTCTTTTCCTTGCTTGACTGCAGCTAGATTTGCACAAGCTGATATGACACCCACAAAGGAAACAACATCCGGCTTCCTACCAAGCAACCTCATCTCCGAGAACAAATTCAGTGACTCCAAGCAATCGCTAGTTTCAGAATATCCAAGAATCAATATGTTATAAGAAACTTCATCTTTATGGGAGGTGTTGAAGACATTTCGAGCAGAATGAAGGCAACCGCATTTCGCATACATGTCTGTCAGAGCATTGGAAACAAACATATCGGCTGTTAGTCCTAAACGAATGCCAATGGCATGTATTTCTTTGCCAGGTCCAAGGAAACCCAAACGTGCACAAGCGGGAAGAACATTGGTGAAGGTCACTGCATTTGGATTTTCTCCAGTCTCTTGCATTAGTATTACTTGTCTTATTGCTTCTAACGCAAGCCCATTTAGAGCATAATTGGCGATCATAGCATTCCAAGAAACAACATTCCTTCTATCCATGTTGTGGAATATGCAAGATGCCTCAGTTGAATGGCCAGATTTTGCATACATATCAATCAATGAATTTGCAATGAAAATATCAGTTTCTGTTCCCATCCTCATACTGAACCCATGAATTTCTTTCCCTGCTTTGAAATACTCAAGTTCAACCAGCACAGGTAGAATACTAGAAATGGTGACAGAGTTTGGCTTAACTTCTGCATCAATCATCATCCTGAAAACATCCAAGGCATCACAGAAATGACCCTTACAAGCTAGACCATTGATTATTGCATTCCATGAAACTTCATTCCTCTCAACCATCTCATCAAAAACTTGCCACGAAGCTTTCACATTCCCACATTTCCCATATGCATCGACAAGTGCATTGCAAGTAGTTACCTGAGAATCCAAACCAGCTTTCATGGTGTAACAATGAATTCGCCTTGTCATCTCCTCATCTTCGAGGGCAGCAGAAATGGGTAACAAAATAACGACACTCACCACATTTGGTTGAATCCCAGACCTCAAAGTCATCCAAAAGTAATAATTACGAGCCTCCCTATAATCCCCATTAACCGAAAGGAGCCCAAGAATCGTATTCCATGAAACAACATCTCTTTCCGGCATTTCGTCGAACACCCTTCTCGCATCACTTACAACCCCACAATTCCCATACAGCATCAACAGCGTATTCCCAACATAGACATCTGAATCAAAGCCCAACTTGGAAACAACCCCATGAACCTCCATACCTTTGCAAATATCTAACGAATCGGAACACAACTTGAGAACGAAAGGAAATGTATGGTCATCGAGTTGAACACCGCTTCGAACCATCCTGTTATACGTCTGGAGCCCATCAATCATCCCGTTGCCGGCTATGGAGTGAGCCCGAATCAAGGTATTCCACAGGAACGCAGTGCGGCAATTCTGGACAGTTTGATGGAACAGAATACGAAACGATTCTGGGTCTCGGAACGTGGCGTAATCGAGAATAAGGGAAGCGCAGAGCGAGACGCTGTGGGGAAGTAAGCCATTGAGGAGGCAAAGAGCATGGAGTTGTTTGGTTTGACGAAGAGATTGAGCGTTGGAACACAGAGTGAGGAGGTCAACGTGAACGGAAGAAACTGGCTCTGTACTTGGAAGAGGAAGTGGGGACGATGAAGCTGAACCGAGAACGGGGTGAAGGAAGCTTCTGTATTGGAATCGAGTGGTCTGAAAACTGAATTGGAATGGTGAGGCGAAGTGAAGACCGGTGCTTCGAGCGCATGAATGTAACATTAAATGTGGGAATATGGCGGAATCATGAAGACGAAAGAGCTCGCGGCCGGTTGCTGAAAGCCTGAAACATGGCGAGCGTGGTTCCCGCTCTGGCGGCCTGCCAGGTATTTTCTATATTTTTTTTTTTCTTTTAACCCTAAGAAACAGTAATCGAATTTCAAATTTAGTTCCTTTCTAAAAGTTACAAATTTAGTCCAACTTTACGATATCAAATCTCTAGATTTAAAAAATGATAGATAATAATAATGACCAAAAACTTGGAATAATTAACCTAATTCAAGATTAAGATATTTTACTCATTTCTTCTTTTTTGTTTTTTCATCTGTTTCGTTCATTGATTTTATTTAGATCCTCACTTTCTTTCCTAGAAAAATGGGAGAAATGTCTTCTTTAAGTGGCTTCATCTTAATACCCTTTTTCTAGAGATGGTTTCTATTTATATGTCTGGTTCTTCCAAGCTTTGCCACCAAGAGTGTTTACGAGTTGGGTTGAGTCGAGTTAGGGAAGTTTTTTGATCATATCAGGGAATTGACAGAACCAAACAAAATAGCCAACTCAACCCAAAATTTTCGGGTTGAGTCGGATTGGGTCACGGTTCCTCTTAATTTCAAATTCTAGATTCAAATAAACAAATAAAGGGCATACAATTTACAAGTTCCAGATCCAAACAAATCAAGAGGGAAATTTCAAATCAAAACAAATTAAGCATTACAAGTTCTGATCTATAACAAATCAATTGTTCTTAATTTCAAATTACAGATCTAAATAAACAGAAGGAAGAAGGGAGAGAAAAACTACTCAGACATTTATAAAAAAAAAATACAACAGTTACAAAAGCTTATGAGACAAAGAGACGGCGGCAATCAACGACAGACGGCGGGATCTCCGACGTAGGATGACGGACAATGACCTACAGCAACGGAAGAGACAAATGACGACAACGGGTGGCTAGGCGCACAATGGAAAGAGAGGAAGTGAAGAGAGGCGCACAAATCTGAGAGGAAACCCTAAAACATATATATATATATATATATATATATATATATAATTAAAAAGGTATAATTTCGGTTCGGTTCGGTTCGCACCAAATTTTTGTTGATCGAACCCAAAATCGAACCGAATTATTCGATTCACCTAAAATTTAACCCAACCCAACCCAATTCTTTATCTAACCCAATCCAACCCTTACGGTTCGGGTTGGGTTGCTCGGGTTCTTCGGATTGTCAGTTCTTTTGAACACCCCTGTTTGCCGCATTTCTTCTTTTCATTCAATTTCTTAGTAACAAGGGGTGGTAGACTAACAATATTACACCCAAGTAATAAACTTTTGAGTTATGATTTCATGCTGTTTGATGTGACAATAGAAAAAATAATAAAAATATATAATTTATATTATTTTAAAAATTGGTTTTAGTCTCGTTTTAATTCTTGAAATTTCAAAATTATTTCATTCGAGTCCCTATACTGTACAAAAAACTTTCAAAATGTCAATTTTAGTTCTTAAACTTTTGAGTTTTACCGTTTTGCCCATTAAACTTTCATAAGGTTTATTTTAGTGTTTAGCCTTTGAAAAAAGATAACACCGAATATGTGTAGTAACAAATTAATACAAACTCAACCCATATAAATTAAATGTGAGTATTAAGTAAGTTGATATTTTCCGTTTCGAAAGAAAAAGAAAGGATATTTCAGTGACCACATATACACATATAGGAATTAAAGATATTTTAACCATATATAAATCATAATTATAAGTTATTTAAATACCATGAAATTTATTAGTTTAAGTGGTAAAATTATCTCAAATGAAAAGAATAATTATTTGAGAAAATGGTAAAAATCATATGTCAAATCGAACATAACTTAATGGAATAAGTATTTATTACCATTTTAAATGTTGATAGTTCAATCCACACACTGTAATTAACGAATTAAAAAAATAGTAGAGATCACATAATTAACCTGAAATATCAATCATGGATGATCAAATAAATGAGGTCATTTTTAACAACATACTAAATAATGTCAATTTGAACATGATCCAACTAATCAAGCTATATATTTTAGACCAAAACATCAAAAGTCCCTACATGCTCAACTTTTAAAATGCATATCGGTTAAATAATAAGATACCAATATTTTGATTTCTAAAATATAGTTTAGCGATTAAGATACTTTACCCCTGTCAGGACAAAGGTTTGGAGGTTGTAATATGTTAGTATAATATATATATTAATCATTTCTGATACCCAACTGCCCCAATTATCACAGTTGGTGGGAGATCTTATAATTAAATATGAAGGAGCCCATTAAGCGACATAATCAGACTTTAACATTCCACTTAATCTCTGGACTCTGATAACCGACAGCAACTATTTAATTGCTTTATTATTATATTTGTTCTTCCTTCTTATCTCTCTCTTGATTCCTTTCTGGAATTAGATTCCCGTTATTGTACTTTACTCGCAGAATAATTCATTACTTTTTATTTTTATTTTCCAGGTTTACATTGTTTGCTTCATTGACTGGTTAACTAAAATTCAAATCATCATTTCCTTAAAAAGTCATAAGTTGTTGTTTTCTTAATATTTTGAAGATTGTTAAGGTGTATTTTTAAACAAGTAGCATTCATCAAAATAATTATCACACTTTTAATACTTCAATACACGTATCAATTTGAACATAGTCTTGTGGATAATTAAGATACTTTTGTTTGAAATCGCCTTACACATGTTTCTAATCCAAAGTTAGGTTATGAATTCGAATCTTTCACCTTACCTCTACTTTATACAGAAGGAAAAACTGTTTTTTAGAATTTTGATGATAACCTGTTATGCACAACTTTGAAGTACGAGCAAATCTATAATTTAACCTAATATTTAGTATCTTTTGTAATTTACCAAAATTGGAGTTAGGGTAATTATAGAGAAAAAGAAGGGCCAGTTAGAAAATTGACGATAAGAGTATATAGCTGGCAGCACAAAAGAAGCAGGGTGTTCAGTTTCGGTAGACTATATACATCCGGCAGAGCCAAAATCTTTCGCTTCTTCTGCTTCACTTCCAATAATTCGCGAATCCCTAGAACAATCAATGGAACAGAGGAATTACAGAGCCGATCCTCTTCAACCCGCCTTCCTCCTGCTCCTCTTCCTCTCCCTTTCTGGCCGATCTGTCGTCCACGCCTACAAGAACTACACCGTCGGAGATTCCCTCGGCTGGTTCGACAAATTGGAGAAGCCTGCCGTCGATTACCAGAAATGGATCGCCGGCAAGAACTTCGGCCTCGGCGATTTCCTCAGTAAGTTCCTCTTAATCTCTCTCTAATTAACCTCATTCTTTGATGATCTCTATTAGTATCTGATTTTGATTCATCGTTTAATTTCCTAAACTCGAAATTTCGGATCTCTCTTCTCGCTTTGCTTAAAACCTATTTATTCTGTTTCCGACCTCAATTGATCCAATTTCCGTCCTCCATTTTGATTAACCACTGCTGAAATAACCACTGGTTCAAGTTTGGTATCTTTTGGTCACGAATTGCAGAGTCGGTTATTTTCATTTGCATTTTTTTTTAATCGTGTTTTACATGAAGTGTCATCTATCTACTTTTTGCTTCTATTTTTCAAACGGATCGATATTAATGATCTAATCAATGATACCTAAAAAAACGAACACGATGATGCCGATTTTAGCATAGTTCACTCGGTGACATCTAATATTTTATTTCATGAGTCGATTTGCATAATCTTTCTCATTATTTACCATGTAAAATATTGCATTTATATAAAAATAGAAATAGGACGGTGAGTCAACTTCACATGATTTGCAGTTTCTATATTGTGTCATATCAATTCTGAATCAACGAGAAAGTAAAATGTAGAAACTAAAAATAGTGTTAATTGACTTTTCATGTTCTTGCTTTTGGTTTGTATCTGAAAATGCTTTAGAAATTTATAGTTTTTTCAGAAAATGGGTTAAAGCAGGCCGTTACTGTGGGCGTCGTTTTTGGTTAGGTGATGATTGAAAGAGGAAAGTTCTCAATAATAGTGAACTCATTATCCAACCCATTAAAAAAGTAATAATAATTAAATAAATAAATACTTTGCAAAAAAGAAAAATTAATTAATAAAATAAAAGACACCAACCGTACGTACTCCATGGCCATGGCCAAGGTTTGGTGTTAAGTATAAGATTTTGACAGCTAAACTAACGCGACGGTATCTTGGGTGTCTCTTTTTTCTTCTCTCTTTTTCCACCATGCACGCAACTCTAGTCTTGTTACTGTAACCTATACAACACGCGTTGTGATGCCATTGGACTTCTTCAGAAGTGTCGGCAGTGCTCATGTGACATCCATGTGCCGCCTCGGTGTAAAGTTGTAAACTTTAAAAGACTCGGTAAAATTTTATAGGTTATTTATAAAAAATACAAAATTAAGCACTTATCCAAAGTTTTAAATATTGATTTGGATAGATATTTTGTAAAAGTTAGAAAAATTAAAAAAATCGTAAAAAATATTTAAATTAACAAATAAACATTTTTCTATTTCTAAATTGGTTAAAAATAATTATATTAATATTATGTATATATTAGTGGAATTTTGTTGATATTTTTCATATTTTGTCGGTTTTCATGTACTATGATGGAAATGTCGATTTACCCCTTATATCAATGTCTATGAAAACATGAATATGTCAATGGAAATGTCGACGTATCCATGGATATTTAGAACTATTAACTTATCGATAAGTACTTATAAGTATTTATGATCAGAAATTTATAAAATATAGAAAAGTATATTATTTTCTTTTGTTTTATAAATATTTGCAGGTATGTATTTAAGTGTTGTTATATATATATATTTAGTCCATAGAATGAAACTCACAATCTTTTGGTTTGATATATATGTCAATTACCGGAGATCCTTTAGTAATTATATATTATATTTTGTAATTGATTTATTTTATAAATTATTGGTTAAATTACAAATTTAGTTTGAATGGTTTGTAATTGTAAGAACCATTGGTTTTGACCTATTTTTTATTTGGTCTTTTATAGTTTGGATTTAGTTTGGATTTTGTCTTTTAACTTTAGTTTCAGTTCACTCTTAGGGTTTTAAAAGTTTCAATTTGATAATCTAATTTAGTTAAACTTGATAGACTATCCTTGGACTATTTTACCTCTATTGAAAAACCTACCTATTTCTTTTCATTTTTTACTTACCCCAACATATTATAACTCGCTCGTACAATTATAGAATTTTTAGAGCCCATGTGACGTTGTAATTTACGTGTCCCTTAAATGAAAACTATTAAAACATCATAGACTTAAATTGAACCAGCTGTTTCATATGGGTGTCTGTTTGGAAACAAGTAATTCCCCATTAAACTTGTTAAAAATTGTTATAAGATGGTAGCCATGTCATTTTACGATAATAAATAAAAGCTCTTTATAAAAAAGTAAAAAAATAAAACAGAAAGACGGAGAGTGGTAAAAATCAATTAATCGAAGTGATTATTGAATTTCATTATTTAAATATTAATACGTGATATTCGAAGTTGTATTTTATTTTCTATAATCCAACATTTATTGAAATATTCAATAATTTTTTTTAAATATGGCTTCATTATTGAGTATTATATATTTATAAAATAAGTTAAAACAATTATGCACGACGTAATTATAGGTTTATGGTTTTATTCATTTATTATTGTTTCTTTTAGCGTACTTCAATTTTTATAGCTTGTTTCTCGGAAATAACGTAATAATATACGTCCGATCAATTTTATTCAGTTTCGTATTGAAAATAATTTTCAATAACGTTGTTTTTTGTTTGTTTGTTATTTTTGCAGTTTTTAACACGGACAACAACCACTCGGTTGTGCAAACATACAATTTTACCATGTACAAGCTATGCGACAACGACGACGCATCGGCAAACGACACGACGGAATGGTCCGCCGCCGACCCGTCGGCAACCGCTCCCTACGCCGTCACGGTGCCCGTCCCACTAATCAAAGAAGGTATCAATTACTTCTTCTCCGGCAACTACGACGGAGAGCAGTGCCAAAACGGGCAACACTTCCAAATAAACGTCACACACGGTCAGGGCCTGCCCAAGAGCATGAGAGATTCTTCCGACGAAGCTCCGGGTCCGGCGGTAGCTCCCGACACCGGCGACGAAACCGAATCTGCACCGGACACAATCATCCCGTCCAGCTTCGACCATCCTCGAAACGACGTCGCTGATACCGACGACAAGGAAGCCTCGGGCTCTGTTTCGTTATTGCTTCACTTCAAGTTCAATGACTTGTTCTTCTTGTTAGTTGGTATTGCCTCCATATTTTTCATCATAGAGTGAATTTGGTTTCTGTCATTATTATTATTTTTTATTTAATTATTACGTTATTTAATACTCAAATAATGTGGGTCCTTTTACTTGGTGTTTATATTAACACATAATAGTTAGCTTATAGGTTTTATTTAGGATTTCCCCCCTCTTTTGTGCATGTTATACACAAAATATATAATGTAATAATGGATTGATATTTCATACTATTTGATAGTGAAACCATTTTATCTGATAATTTTTTATGTTCTATACTAGACTTTTGTTTTAAGATTATTCAACCATTTTCTCCATAATTTAGTTTTAAAATGCATAAATATATTTTATTTTCTATTAGAGTGTATTTCATGAATCATCAATGGTTTCCACTCTCCCCTCAGTAATGTTAATTGTTAGGTGAAACTGCCTTAAAAGATGGCAGGTTGCATCTCCCTTCTTACTTTTGCATAAAACGTTGGTGTGAAATGAGACATGAAGTGATCTTGGGAATAAAAAATGAAGTCTTAATAATTATTCAACAAGCTAGAGTTTGGTTAAATTGTGATAATTATATAATATTTTTATTTAGTTCAATAATCTAGGGCGAAGATTTAAACATCCGATTATCCGATTTAAGGACAAATGTATAATCTTTTTCACCCGCTATGCTGGATGAAATGGGAAAATAACCTTTATTAGAGGGTTATGAATACAAAAATGTTGTCGTAAGAGAACTTGAAAATGGGCCAATTAAATTAGGCCCATTGGGTCACCGGAAGTGGAAATGAGCCAATCAGATTAGGCCCATTATGTCACTTTCTACGCGGCTCCTGGCTGTGTGTCCGAGGGCCCTAAACGCTCCAGGAAATTCTAACTGTAAAATAATTAAATTTTATTTTACCCTAGAAGTTTCCAATAATGTTTTTACCATGTCATGGTCAATTTTGAACAAGTTTATTTTTAAAGGGTTAAATTTAAAACAACGTTATCACAAGTGTGAAAAAGCTAGACCTAACTTAAAATTTTTTAGTAAAATATGTGGGAAGAGAGATTAAAGTTACTGTTAAACTATGCTCGTTTTGACAATTTCTAAATTTTAATTGAAATAGTTATACGAAAACAAATAAAATTTACGTCAACACAATACAGTTGAATTGGAGAGGACACATGTCTTAATTTATTGACAACCAAACTAAATGCATTCAAAACATTAAAATCTTATTTAATAGGTAAGATTATGTTTCTGCGTTATCACACTCAATTTTTATTTTATTTGAGACATACTCATTTAATTAAGCGAAATAAGTAAATATTTGTTTAACATATTTATCTTTTAAAACTGTTTTTGAAATGTAATATTGAAAATTATAGAAACAACATTGATATGTGTTTGGGGGAAAGAATACTCTGGACACGTGGAGGACAGCCATTGGTGTCCCAAGGCGACCATGAGTCATCTCCCAGCTCGGACCGACCGAGATCACCACCACTAGCGTTGACAGATACTAAGTATGAGGGCCGATGTGAACCTGGCCGAGGTCCGACCTACCGGGAAGCTCGGTGGGGGCCGATGT